AACGGTTAGAGATACAGGCTTCGGACAGGTACCAAATTAAAGCCCATTCAAAACCCTACATTTTGGACTACAATGACGACCCTCTACTCCCAATAGAAGCGGAGATATCGACGGATGAAGGCTGGATATCGACGGAGAAAGGTTAGAAAACTTTAACCTTCGATATCTCCTAAACGGTTAGAGATACAGGCTTCGGACAGGTACCAAATTAAAGCCCTTTCAAAACCCTACATTTTTTACTACATGGACGACCCTCTACTCCCAATAGAAGCGGAGATATCGACGAATGAAGGCTGGATATCGACAGAGAAAGGTTAGAAAACTTTAACCTTCGATATCTCCTAAACGGTTAGAGATACAGGCTTCGGACAGGTACCAGATTAAAGCCCTTTCAAAACCCTACATTTTGGACTACATGGACGACTCTCTACTCCCAGTAGAAGCGGAGATATCGACGAAGAAAGGTTGGAAAACTTTAACCTTCGATATCTCCTAAACAGTTAGAGATACAGGCTTCGGACAAGTACCAAATTAAAGCCCTTTCAAAACCCTACATTTTGGACTACATGGACGACCCTCTACTCCCAATAGAAGCGGAGATATCGACGGATGAAGGCTGGATATCGACGGAGAAAGGTTGGAAAACTTTAACCTTCGATATCTCCTAAACGGTTAGAGATACAGGCTTCGGACTGGTACCAAATTAAAGCCCTTTCAAAACCCTACATTTTGGACTACATGGACGACACTCTACTCCCAGTAGAAGCGGAGATATCGACGGAGAAAGGTTGGAAAACTTTAACCTTCGATATCTCCTAAACGGTTAGAGATACAGGCTTCGGACAGGTACCAAATTAAAGCCCTTTCAAAACCTACATTTTGGACCGTAAAGTATTACGATTAACGTGTGAGAAATTTGAAGAACTTTTGAAAAAGGTGCATCCGCTTATACAGAAAAAAAATAGTTTAATGCGGCTTGCTCCTCCATCCCGGACCAAATTAGAAATTACGCTCCGATATCTAGATGATTCTTATCAGTCTCTAGAGCTGCTCTTCAGAGTTCCAGCTTGCACTATTTGCAAATTTCTGCCAGAAGTTCTTGATTCAATCAAACAAGTGTTGTGGAATTACTTAAAGGTAAGTCTTACAAAATATATTAATTATTTATTTTTTTAAAAAAACAAACACAAAAAGACATGATTTCAATACAAGATTCATGTCTTGTGTTATTCAAGGGTAGGGATATTTTTAGAACAAAATATATTATTAAAAAAGATGTTTATTTAGTTTTGTAATAATATAAGAAACAGTAACATGCAAAAAAAACAAATTTTTATATCGTTAAATAAAAAGAAGAAATGTTAATATACTTAATAGATATTAAATGCTAAGTATACTAAATATTAAATACAGTAAATATTTAATATACTAAAAGAGAAGAAATATTAATACTTTAAATACTTAATTTTTATCTATTTTAGAATGCTTAATACTTCAAATACTTAAAATATTTAAGATGCTTAAAAATTAATAAGATATCTAAAATATTTAAAACATAGTTTTATTGAAATTGTGCGGTCTGATCAGATGAAGAAAAATTTGGTAATATCGCAGTGCATGAAAATTGTTGTGATGGAGAGAGAGTGACATATAATGATGGAGAGATAAGAGTACATTGTGATGAAGAGAGAGGAGGTCATTGTGATGAAGAGAGAGGAGGACATTGTGATGGAAGGGGAGGAGGATATGGTGATTGAGAAGAAGGATATAATAATTTAGAGGAAGGAGGATATGGTGATGCAGAGGGAGGATATGGTGATGGAGACGGAGGAGGATATGGCGATGGATGATGGAGAATTTGGATTGATGATGGAGAATAGTAGAATTTGGTGATATACTCGACTGGCTGACATCTGTGTGGGAAGTGGGAGGTTTGGAGTGATCACAGAAACATATTGATGGTTTGATGCATCTCGTGAAGGAGGTCGGCCGTAAGACGAAAAAAGTACTTTGTTAGTTCCAGGTTGCAAGTCAGATAGAGACTCCAAAACAACTTTTGTTATAACATTTTGAATTTCACTTCTCAGAATGACAGCTGAAATGGGAGGCAAAGAACTGAGTTAGGAAGCCACATATCGGCCAAACTGGCCATTTTCATTTTCAGTCTTGTTCATATTTGAAACAATATTGTCAAGATGCTCCATAGCATTTTGCTGAGAGTTGGACTTATCGTTGCTTCCTCTTTAAGTCTTTCTTAACTTGCATATGTTTATTGATTTTTGATGTATTACTTGATATAATACGTTTTCTCTGATCTGCTTCATGGTCTTTTTTCTGCTCTGGGATGATACTGTCTGTTTTATCTATGAGATTATCATTACTCTCTTCCCTGGAAGTTCCTAAGTATTGAATAAACTCAATGTCAGCATCATGTTCAAACTCCACCAAATATTCCTCTTGACTCTCTCTTGTTGGATCACCGCGATCTTCATTCTGCGAATAAATAAGATATTTAGATAAATATTTTAAGAACTCACAATTTCTAATTTCTGATTAATTTACATTTTCCTTTAATTCTTTATAATTCATATTTTCTTTCAGACACCATCTACATCAGAAGAATTTCATGGTGAAAGACGGAGGGCGTACTAGGTGGCGACGGGACGCCGTGCGTTCGGGACCTGCGTCTTATTTTCGTTCCGAAGAGAGAAAAATATCGAGAGCGCGGTAGTCGCTAGACCGGGAATCGAACCCGGGTCTTTCGTTTGCTGGACGACTGCTCTAGACCACTGAGCTACCTGACCATACCTGACGCTCCACGCTCACGACACTCTCCTCTCCCTAGATAACGTTGAGAGATGTCGTTCGGAAGCGACATCTCTAGTGCTATCCCGAGCGCACGGCGACTATAGAGAAAGGTATTGTTACTTGTACCTAGTGGTACAAGTTGGTGGTCTCTCAAAGTCAAAGGTTGCTATCCTTTAAGACCTGCTGTCTATGTATGCCGACCTCCACCGTTGCCCCTCCTTATCCGGTGCAAATCATATAAATAAGCTCCGGGGTCGAGGCCATATTTTGGCTGCCCCCGGGCGCTTGGACACGTTTTTGCAACGCGCCGAAGGGGAATCCACCATGAAAGAAGGAGAGCGTACTAGGTGGCGACGGGACGCCGTGCGTTCAGGACCTGCATCTTATTTTCGTTCCGAAGAGAGAAAAATATCAAGAGCGCGGTAGTCGCTAGACTGGGAATCGAACCCGGGTCTTTCACTTGCCGGGCGACTGCTCTAAACAACCGTATAGCACCCTCCGGACGGTGTCCCCCAGGAGTTTTAGCCGGTGAAAGTCCGGCATAATCCCTGGACCCCCCCCCCAGGGTCCGGGGTACCCATAAGGGGTTTCTCCTGAGTGATCAAAAAAAAAAAGGAAAAGGTATGGTTCCATTTGACGCAGGTGCTAACCGGACATGGTTGTTTCGGTCGGTACTTACGTCGAATCGGGAAGGAACCCACCACTAGATGCCCGGTGCTTGAGGACACGGCGCATCATACGCTGGCCATATGCAAGACATGGGGCCAGCAACGCCGTGTCTTGCCCCGGACGGTGGGGTGCCGAGAGGAGGACTTCTCGCTCCCGCGCATGGTAAGAGCCATATGCGGGAGTGAGGAGGCTTAGGAGGCGGCGGCCTCTTTCTATCGAGATGTAATGTCCCAGAAGAAGGCCGCCGAGTGGGAGTGCCGCCCCGGAACCCGTCGCAGGGAGCGACAGGGAAGGAGGCAGCGTTCCCCAGGTATAGGGAGCGGGCCCGAGATAGCGTCGGCCGAGGAGCGGCCCCTGATCCGTCGGGGCCGCCTCGGGCTAGACTTCGTCCACGCGAAGGGGGGGGAGCAAAGGACATGAAGCTTGCCCCCCTTCCGAGCGACGGTGATGATTGTCAAAGGAGGAGTGGTGACCCGTTTGGGGACGGGCCCCACTCCCCCGCCCCCACTCGGCTAGTGAGGGGGACTAGGAGAGATGGTGGGTGTTCCCCTCTCTCCAATAACCGGAACCAGAAGGCCAACCCGGCCGGAAGACCGGCCGGAGCGCTGCGCCCCCAACTCCCTTTGTGGGAGGGGGTGCGGCACTTGGGCATGGGGCTCCAATAGAGCCCTGGGGTCGAGGTGTCGGGGAAGGAATACAGGCATAGTCCCCTGATTCCCCCCATTCTGGCCCGATCGGTAAACACCTCGGTGGGGTTTTAGCCAGTAAGAGTCCGGCATAACCCTCGACTCCCCCCCCAGGGGTAGAGGTATCTATGAGGATTTCTCCACTGTTATAAAAAAAGGAAAAGGTATGGTGAGTTTTGGTGAGAAGATAGGGAATTTTATTGTGAGGGATGTTACACCAGTACCCCGCGCCCATAAAAGCACTTTATACTCCGTCCATATATTTTTACGTCCATGCTTACTCCTGTGGCGAGTCCGCCACAACATTGATCACATATACTAGTCACTAGACAACCTTAGTGACATTACAGATGGCGTCAACCGTAGCGTGCGACGAATGAGAAAGAAGTTTCCGGTGTAAGAAAAAGAAGACTATCAACAGCTTCCCGAGACAGAAGTCGAAAGTCGTCACCTCCAACAACAACAATTTGTAACAGTGCAATATTAATGTTCGTTTTATAATAAAGTTTGGTTTATACTATATGGCTGTGTGTTCATGAATTCCTAAGAGCACGTAATTAGTACAAGCGCTATATTCCCACAAGCCCAGAGCCATCTATTGAAAGAAGGAAGGAGTCAACATGGATCAAGTTTCGGAACGATGATTTAACGGTGAATCTATTGGTCTGTTCTTTTTAGCTGCACTGCGAAACCAGTGCAATAAGTTAGAATGAGACAACTATATTTTTTCTCACTTTAACTTATTGCACCAGTTCAGTAGTGCTGCTAAAAAGAACAGACCATATGTATTTTCAGTACTGGCAGTGAATTTCGGAATGCGGCCTAAGTCAAGTGAGTGCGTGCATTCGTGGTTAGTTTCGAGGATGCGTTGAAACAATTTGGGAGTGGGATATCGTATGTGTTAATGACCGAGAAAATCACATGTTCGCAGGTGTCTATGTAAAATATGCTGCGGCTTTATACATTCTAACAACAGAACATTATTACGGCAACTCGCATTACGTATCATAACGGAACTGGTGTCGGAAATTTAACGCTATCTTGTAACCGCCAAAACTATAGACGGAAACGCCATCTTGTGCGTTGATGTTGACATTTTCACACATTGGACAGTATTCATTGTTGATTGTGCTGTGCGTTTTATGTGTTGAATAATATGTCAATATATGTGCAACTCAGCTGAACTGATAATAAATTTCATGAGGTGGTTCGTTATTTCATACCAAGCACATTAAAATATTACTAAAAAAATTTTATTATTTCATAGACATGTTGTCAAGCTAGTTAAAGAAAAATATATTAAGTATACTTCTAATATTTAATCATGCTTACCTTTGTTATGTTCGACTTATAATTTATATCAATTAACTCATCAACTGAATTTAATTTCTTTTTAGATTAAAGCTAGAAGAATATACGAATCATGTTTTATGCACATTTTGTGTTGGCCAAAAAAGGGCCTTTAGCTCGTATATGGTTAGCTGCTCATTGGGACAAAAAATTAACAAAAGCACATGTATTTGAAACCAATATAGAAAAATCAGTGGATGGTATATTACAACCAAAGGTAAATGTCATTTTGAGAATTTATAAGACTTCTTCCTCTATCTGTCTCTATCTCTCCCTCTCTCCCTTTCTCTCTCTCTCTCTCTCTCTCTCTCTCTCTCTCTCTCTCTCTCTCTCTCTCTCTCTTTCTCTCTTTGTCTGTCTGTCTGTCTGTCTGTCTATTTATCTATCTGTCTGTCTGTTTGTCTATTTGTTTGTTTGTTTATTTGTTAAATGTTTGTTTTTTTACCATATTATTTCTAAAAATTGTAATAGGTTAAAATGGCTTTGAGAACATCTGGTCACCTACTATTGGGAGTAGTACGAATTTATTCAAGAAAAGCCAAATATTTGTTAGCTGACTGCAATGAGGCTTTTGTAAAAATCAAAATGGCTTTTAGGCCAGGAATGGTAGACCTGCCTGAAGAACACAGGGAAGCAGCTGTAACTGCTATTACTTTACCAGAAGTATTTCATGATTTTGATACTGCTATGCCTGAGCTTAAGTAAGGACACTGTTAATATATGTTTCAAAGTTATATTTGTATTTTCCTTTATATATTAATTATTGCATTATAAATCATGGCATTATGTCTTTCTTTTTATATTAATCACTATCTTCCTTTCAGAGATGTTGATATTGAAGCCCAATTTAGTTTAAATCAATCTAGAGCAGAAGAAATAACAATGAGAGAAGATTATGGCAGTTTATCTTTAGTCACACATGATCAAGGTTTTGGTGATATGAGTTTTGATGCAGAACCACCAGAGTTACTAAGACATGGGAGTACTATGGAGCCTTCATTAGATCAGGTATTTATATATGAAATATGTTCGATTGTATTTGATTTTATTTTATAAAATCTGCAAACAAATAAAACTTTTACAGCCTATAACTTATATTTCTTTGTTTTATTATTTTTTCTGGGTTTTGTTTTAGAGTCACATGTTGTTCAGTGATGGACCAGGAATAGAAACAGCAATAGAACAAAAAGAGAAAGAGCCAATAGCAGGTACATCATCCACAACTCAACCTATGGATATAGATACACCCATTAGAGATGATGGTTTTGGCGGTCATCTTGGCCAGGATATCATATGTATGATGAAAGCAATTTACTATTTTAATAACTAAATCTGAAGATAAATAAAAAGAGAAATAATTTGGCAATAATTTCATTTTTCAGCGGGTGGTCTTTTTGAAGGTGGTTTATTTGATGAAGCTCCAATGGGTGAAGTACCTGTACCTGAAGTTAGTTCAATAACTGAACAGCAAGAAACAGGTGCAGCTCCGGGTACTGCTGCTTCTGTTCACGATGAATCTGATGAAGATATGGGTGATCATTTTGGTGGACCTGCATCTCCAATAGGAGGCATGAGGTATTTATTATTGCTTTTATTTGTACATATTTACTATAGTTGCATATTGATATTTACTGCCAGCACTGAAAATCTATAGTATATATGACACAAACTATGTACCTTTAATACTGGTAATGAATATCCAAACATAGTCTATGTGAAAAATGTTGGTATTTTACTAAACTATTGAATATGTTGTGCACAGCTCTGACGGCTCTAGACCAACTACACCAGTGACAGCTGGAGAAGAAATTGAAGGAAGAATAAGCGTCGCCAGTCGTCGTTTCACACCAGCTCCACCAGCTATTCCGGAGGAACACGTTATTGACAACATAGAAGAACCACCACCATTACAAGATCAAACCACATTGTTACATGACGAAGAAGAAAGCTTTGCATTAGCTCCGATTGACGCATCTGCTTTAAAAGGTAAAATTATGTTATACTCTAACATTCATATAATTTATTTTTTGTAACTAATAAGTAGATATCTGTCTTTTAGGTTTTACGAAAGCTAAGCGTAAACGTAAACTCATTGTCGACGAAGTAAAAAATATTTCTGGTGAAGAAATGAAGGCACAATTGTCAGATACTACTGACATCATTACGACGTTGGACCTGGCGCCACCAACAAAAAGATTAATGCACTGGAAGGAAACAGGCGGTGTAGAAAAGCTCTTTGCTCTGCCGGGAAGGCCGATCCCAGCTCGTGTTCTCTTTAAAGTAAGATAATTTTACGTCTTATACTCGTTTGACTAACAATTAAAATTGTTATATTTAGAAAGACACAATGTTCTAATTTAATATTATTCAAATAGAATTATCAAAGACACCTAACTAGTAAGTCATATGATCATGAAGACTTTGGGCGACTAGTAACTGAGGAAGACAGTATGCCTTTGGAACAAATGAGAGATGCTCCAGAAGCAGAAACATCTAATTATGATCAAAGCGTTCTCAATAAACGTATGGGACGGAAACGAAAAGCACCGCAGGATGATGAGGTTAGTTATAAAGAATATTTTAGAAAAAAGTGCATTATTAACAAGAAAAATAAAACGGACTCAGCGAAATACATTTTTATGAAATATTATGATACAATTAATATTACTTTATGTAGATAAGGCCTCCTCCACCACCACCTCAACCACCTCCAGCAGAAGTTAATCAATCGTCAATAAAAGAGACAGTAGAAGTACCAAGCATAATCCCGCAACAAAGTCTTCCATCTTCGGAGTCGCCTGTTCCAGCCGAAGTACCTTTACCAGTGGAACCATCAGTTTCCGACATTAGCATTGTGCCTTCCGTGGAGACACCAGAGGTGATACCACCGACTTCTGAAGCACCGTTGCTCACCTCAGAAATACAACAAATCATGCCGGCTGAAGTTAACTCGATACTCAGCACAAATGAAGAATTGCAAGTATCACAAGTACCGGCACAAGAAGCCACCGCTACCGTACAACCATCCGATATGCCTCAAATGGAAAACATGGGTTATGATCAAGTGAGTTGAAACATCCGCCTTATTGTATATAAAACATATTCGTATTGCATTTTCAGTAGTAATTCTATGATCTATTTTGAAAATTTCAACAGGCGCAACCACAAGTTTCGTATATGGGGTATGATGAACATCATCCTCCGGCACATACACCGGGTGCAATTTCTGAGAGAGGACCCGCTACACCCTGGAATCATGAAGATTATGAGTTCCCACCGTCCGTAGGACCTGTAATTATATATAAATTGTTTCTTTATTCTATATTATTTATATGTAATTATATCCTGATTTTTTAAGATATTTATGAGAAAATTTATTAACAATACTATATATTTTTAGCAAGAAGAGCAGCAAGTGGATGAGACCTATGAACAATTCGAAGAACGTGTTCTCAACAAGAGAGCAGCGCATATGTATCATGTTATTAAGAGCAAACTAGATACCAAAGATAAGTTAACACTATCAGAAATGGCATTTAAGAATAACCGCAAACAGGTTAGTAGTCTAAAAAATAATATTTAATGTTAACTTTTTTTTAGAATTTTATATTAAAAACAAATTTTATCATATTCTGTTATTTATAGGTTGCACAGAAATTTTATACACTGTTAGTTCTGAAAAAGTTTCAAGTACTAGAACTCAACCAAGAATATTCATATGCTGAGATTACAGTTACAAAAGGACCAAAATTCGAAAATCCTGCATTATAAAGGTATTCAATCTCAATTATATAATTTTGAACATGAACAAAGAAGAAAAACATTTCATCCATACAAAAAATATCAAAAATAACAATTATGCACGTTTCTTTCTTTATTTTATTAAAGAAAATCGTTTTATTAATATATGAATTAATGAAATTAATATATGAAGTTTACTTTTTGCTATAAATTTGTAAAGATATTTCGTAATATTGTTTTGAATCCTTTGTCTTAAGCAGTACTTATTATGTACTAAAATCACTGTAATGTTAATCATATTGTATTTCCTTTTCATACTGCATTGACTTTGTTTTTCCATAGTCTTAGTAACCTTGCTAAATTTCTGTTCCTACGAAAGTTTATCAAATTTAATACATCGTTCATCAAGCCATACAGGGTTTGTATATAAAAAGAATGAGTAAATAGTTAAGAAATATTTTACAATGCGCATATGCGTATTTATCATTACTGACTTCTTAAATTTACATTACAAGAAGGTCCAAAATCACAAGTATATTATTGATACAGCTTACTAAATTTTGATAACTAATAATTTTCATTAAGATAAATATATAATAATAGAACGTTAATGCAGTTAATGCATATTTCTAGATTATTAATTTATAAGGTACAGAAACTAACTCAGAAATTTACTTATAGTACTTATATATACATTTATTTGTAACAAAACAGTTATTAATGGAAAAGTCAAATTATATATTTGTGAATAATAATTTTATGTATTATTTTTATATTATCAGGCGATATGTTTTCCACTTTCATTCATATCCATTTTCTTTATATTTATATAATATATAAATATTATCTATATTATATAAATACGTCTTTTATAACTATGTTATGATACAAAAATAATGTACATGACAAATATAACAATTTTGTTAACAATATTTTACTTACAATTGCAAAGTCAATTTTATGAAAATGATGTTAAATTTTGTTCTTTAATAATAATGATAATAATAATAATATATTTGCAGTAAATAAAAATTATTATCAAATAGCTAGGTTACAAATAATTTAATTATGGTGCTAACTATTTTCTGAAAGAAAGTAGTATGTACTATAATTCCAGAGAAAATCATTTAATGATTTATTGTATTTGTATGTCTAGTTTAATGGAATATAAGAATGTTACAAAAAACGAAAAGAAAAATTATATTTTAGCAAACGGGCCGTTTACCATAAAAATTTTGCAATAAAATCATAAGTTTGCATTGTAAATAAACATACTATAATCGAAATGAAACTAATCGTTAAAGTATAATAATAAGTAATTTAATAATGCGTCATGAAATTTAAAAAAATCAGTCAACTACAAAATCAAGTAAACATTGTAAATAACATCATTACTATTTAACGAATTATTACCTATTCGGGAAATAAATATCATTTATAACATTTGTTTATAAATGATATTAAATCTTATGAACATGCATATCGTATAATACTTAAAACTGTTATTCCTTTATTTTCCATTAATGAACTGTTGTTTATATATATATTACTACATTATAATTTATTAATTAACACTAAAATATCTCTCTGTAATTTCTGTTTTTTGTTTCTTTATATGCACTATGCTAAAAAAAAAAAACATTTAAACTCAGAACTATTGTATCTTGTAGTATGTTATTTTATTTCCACGTATTAAATTTATTTGTAAATTTCAATTTACAAATAAATTACATTCAATTTTATAAATTTATTATGTATTGTGTAACAATGATTGGCTTATTCACTGCTTATATATATCTTTTTTTAACGAAAATTACAATATTACATGCGTGATTTAATGTATATCTTATTGTTAAATAATTTATCATAACGCGCGCATTTCTGAAGATTTGCATATAATTATCATTAAATATGCATTATTAATGTACTGTAAATATCATGGTTATATTAATGACAATATTAATTTAAACATAAAAAAATATTCATATAGACCCAGGAGGCGAATTTAATAACTTCCTTTTTTAAAAACTCGATTATTTCACATCAATACATGCGTGCGCATACACATACACACAAAATTATCTTTTCCAAACTTCTCTTATGATGTTATGTCAGAATATAAAAATGCACAACGTTATATTATATGAAAAAGCTTTATTTTCCATTTTTAGATAGCGATAGTTTACATCAACATAAAGTGAAATTATATATGATATACGAGCAGTTAGTTGCAAATGTTGGTATCATTAATTAATCTGATTATCTCGTGACGTATATTTCGTATATGCAGTGTGAAAGATTTATAAATCTTTTACATTTTTCTCTTATAAACATATCGCACTTTAGCATAAATGCATTTTAATATTAATCTTCCAATTCGCCGGCCTCCATGGCATCTTGATATGATTTAGTTTTTGGTCGCTCAGGATCCAATTTAATCATGTCATCGATTCGAAGAATAGTTATGGCCGCTTCAGTAGCAAATTTCAAAGATTTAATTTTCGAAATTGCAGGTTCTAACACACCAGCTTTCTTGTTATCTCTTATATTTCCTACTAGCAAATCAAGACCCACCCTATAAAGAATATTAATAGATCCATATAATTTTTTACCTATTATAAGTATATAAAAGTTATTTTAAAAATATAAAAAATATACATATTACCATTTTAAATCTGCAAGATCTGATTTCGTTATACTGGAATTATGATAAGCTCGAAGTTTAGCGACTAGGTCGGTTGCATCTTGCGCAGCGTTTACGGCTAACGTTTTCGGTATAATTAGTAAAGATCTTGCAAATTCCGCTATAGCAAGTTGTTCTCGAGAACTCTGTAATTTAGAGATATGGTAAATATTTTATTTTTAATATAAGAGAACAGAGTATAAAAAGTATGAAATTCAATACCAATGATGTCGCAAAGTTCTCCAAATATATAGAGAGCGCAGCCTCTACGCAACCTCCACCCGCAACGACACTTTTGCTTTCCAAGACTCTTTTGACAACACATAATGCATCATGTATGGAACGCTCCATTTCATCGCAATAATAATCATTTGGTCCACGTAAAATAATGGAACTAGCCGTACGCGCCTTAGGACTTAAAGTTAAAGAATTGATTTATTATGATTTTCAATTAATTTTCATAATATTAATTATCGCAGCCAAATTTTATTTATGGCTCATTTTGTAATAATAATGTCATACCCTTTGATAAGAATAAGCTCGTCGTCGCATATCATTTCTTGCACTATTTCTACAGCTTCTCCTAGGAAATTGGTGTCGAAACTTTCCTCTCCTTCCATATTAGTCAGTGAAGTGAGGAATTGCGCACCTGTAGCTTTAGCGATTCTTTTCAAGTCAGACTTTTTGCATCTACGCACTGCCATAGCCTTAACTTCAACGAAATACTGTGAAAATATAAAAGTCGATATTGTTTACTTCTTGAAATAATTGGATCAAATTTGTAGCTGTACCTTCAAGCATAAGTCGTCAATGCCACCAGATAAAAGAATCACATTGGCTCCAGCAGCAAGAATCTTTTGAATGCGTTCCTTAGTGATATCTGCTTCGCGTTGACGAACAGCCTCCAATTTTTCGGGATCTGTAATAAGTACTTCAACGCCCATTTTCATCTTCGCTTTTTGTAACGAAAAGTCCAAACATGCAATCTTTGCATTTACTATCCTCTTCGGCATCGCTTGGGAAGCAACAGTACAATTTAGAGCATATCCTTGGACCAAAACTGATTCCCGGACGCTTTTTCCATGAGCCTTCAAAACATTGACTGCTTTAATAGGATACAGATAACCTCCCTTGGCATCACTGATTTTCACCGCATTAGCAGCATCAACTACTATATTTCCGAAGAAATTGGCATCACTAATCAATAATTATAGGAAATATTTTATACAAATTATTATATAGCAGGAGGAAAGAATTATTTAGATATTTTAACAAAGTAAAAAGGATACGCTCCAATAATTTTGCTAGACATAGATGTTTTTGCAACATTAACTAAGCAATCTCGTCCAAGTTCGTCCACATTAACAGTTAAATGTTCTTGAATATATTTGCATGCTTCTCTAAAAATAAAAAATTGATTTTATAAATTACATTAAAATATTTCCTTTCATATTATTGTATGTGAAATATTTTATTAGTAATTTGATAAACAAATTTAAATTATAATTAACAAAGTACCTTAATATTGAAGGTAATTCTGATTTAAAAAATATACAATTGGATACTTACTTGCAAGCAAGTCTATATCCACTAATTACTGAGGTTGGATGAATCTTTTGCTTTACAAGCTCATCTGCATTTTTCAAGAGTTCAGCTGCTACTATCACCTAGTATATGTAAAAAAATTATTGAATTAAATAGACTATCTCATCTTTTATCTTAGATAATATATTATATGTACAAATACATCACTTACAACTGAAGTAGTTCCATCTCCAACTTCTTCATCTTGTAATTGTGCTAATTCAACCAAAACTCGTGCAGCTGGATGTTCAACTTCTAATAAACGCAAGATAGTTGCTCCATCATTAGTAACAGTAACATCCTAAGAAAGAAATAATATATCTTGTCCCAAATGATTTTCATATTTAATATATTATAAAAGATTAAAAAAGTTGATTACATACACCAATATCATCAACTAACATCTTATCCAAACCAACTGGGCCCAAAGAACTTTTAACTATATTAGCGATAGCACAGGCAGCCATGACTAAAATATTAATAAAATTTATTTTATATATTTATGTAAAATTATGAAATAAATTAAACCAATAAAAAATATTATTTTGTACATATATAGGATATACACAAATATGTGATGCAACTTTTTACTACACAATTTAACAGTACTGATAGTATTGTAGTTAATAGAGTTGCATATTAGATATTTGCACACATTATGTCATTATATGCAAGTTCAGGTGGTTGACCTCTCGGCTGCTTGAGCTAAGATCTCTACAAAAAGGTATAGATACTTGATGTGATAATGCATTATAAAAAATAAATTACATGAGTCTTAAAACTTTTCCTGCTACAGATGTAATTTGTATGTTTTTACTTCCATATTTTTATAATGTATTTTCATGTTAAGTATTTATACTTTTTTGTACAAGGATCTTAGCTCAAACAGCCAAGAAGTCAACCACCTGAACTTGCCCATAATGACATATTTTAACTAATGTTAATATGATATATATATATGTATACACATATACAAGATATTACATGTCTCAAACTGATTCGAGAAACTTTTGAGAAACTAATATTACTTTTATATTATTTGCTATCAAAGTTTATCACACAAACAATTTTAATTGACATATAAAAACCATAACACACACAAGAAATACTTAATAAAATCGATAAATATATAATACTAAATATTTTGCACCAAGTAGTATATTAAAACTAACACAATCATAAAAATCGTGGTTTTGTACTAAATGTATAAAAGATAATATCGAGACTCCCGTTGTTTATGATGGATTTGCGATTCTAAATCATATATATTAATGAAGTATATTAATGAGTATTCGAGTAGAGCAAGATTTACATGATATTTAAAAGGTAAAATCTATTTCGAAGTTTCATGATACGATATAACCAAACTCGGTGAACAAATTTTCTTACCATTTTGTGTTCGAACCGGTGCTCCTGATTGTCGAATGCCTCCAACGGCTAAAGGACTTGCTACCGTTGACATTGCGATAAAGTAACTATTTCAGCGAGACGCAATTATTTTATCACACCTCGAATCGTGTTATTCGTGACAACGATAAAAGAAACTGAGAGAAAGGCCAAAAGCGGCGTGCTGTCGTGAGATGATTCTAGCGACCCTCAATGCGCAGTCTCGTTTCTTATTTCCTTTTATAGTCAAGTGCAACGCTATTGGTCACACTCTTCTGTCTTCAAATACGATTGGCGAATAATTGGACAAAAGAACAGCAATTTTCTCAGCACATTTTAGTTTTAATAATGTGCATTTATAATTATGTGTATAATTGTGATTTTTATTAATATTATAAATTATACATTTTATTAATATTATAAATTATCTCATTTTTCTCTGCTTCAGCAAATGATTCCTAAGAGCTATTTGTTTATTCTTAAAAGATCTTTTTGCCTTTCCTTTCAATTTGTGTTTCAGCATCTGAAATATTTTTCCCTTTCTTTTCTCACGATTTGTTTTACTGCACAATGGATTTTGTCGGCCGTCTTTATAACCAAACTTTTCTCTTTCTTCTTGTCCTTTCTATAAATTCAACATTTAAACCACATTATTTTATAAATCTCATTAAAATATATAATATTGTCTACAAACCTTTACAGATTCTAATCGGGCTGCTTTATCGTGTTTACGTTTCTTATATATGTTTTCTATGTCACAAAGTTTTACCAGTTCTCCATTTTGTTTCACTGTCTCGATTTGATCGTGCACTCTTTTAACGCCACGATTAGCATATGTTACTTCTTGTTTCACTAATGCAATATCAATTTTCCTAAAATCTTCATCCGTGAACAATCGTTCTGTAGATATTAAAGATGCTTTTATTTTCCTCTCAGCGATTAGCTCTGTATTTTGTTCTGTATTCTGCTTTGTCTTTTTTAATTTTCGCGCCTTTTTTTGTTGCTTCGTTAAAACGTTTTTCTTTCGCAAAGTTTTATCAGTTTCTCTTTTCTCGTTATTGTTTCCACAATCATTCTTTATACTATCCTTCTCGTTATAGAAAGTAAAATCATCATCGCCGTTCTTGTTATTTTTTCCTTGTTCTTTATCATCATCGTCGTCATCGTCGTCATCGTAATAATCGTCGTTGTCATCATCATCGTCATCACTAGCAGAAGATTCTATCGATTGATCCGCATCGACTATTGACTTTTCGTCATTGACTTCTTCATCGCTATTATGACTTACGTTGATCCATTCATTATCCTACATATATACACAAATATATCAACAAATTTTAATGTAATGAAATAATAGCGAGATGTATATTAATGAAATTATTTGATATTTTACTTACTTCACTATCACTGTGATCGGTTTCTTCGATATGCTTGCCGAATAAAACATCTGCTCCAGGTACGAACTCACTTGCTCGTACTTCACCGTACTTGGAAGCTTCTATTGCGATGTTAACTTCCGTAGGACGGCCTCTGTCTTTTCTATGTAACAAATCAGGCATAATACGCCTGAACGTCCCAATTAAAGAACGCGCTGACATCATTACGGAACGTTCTTTATACTGCTTGTATTGTGTTAGATCTTCAAGCAGATCTCTGTTCATGGCTAAAGGACATCGTGTACAGATCTCACGTACGGTATTTAGGCTAAATGAATAAAATTAAATATATATATAGCGACGTAGATTCAATATGTTTATAATAAATCATTAAAATAGTTACCCAATAGCCATCACATCCGCAGAATTCCTTTCTGTTACAAAATTATTGACTAAGGTCTTCAAAACAGGTTCTAGCACATCTGGTGGTATTAATTCGTGCGAAGCTTGAGCTATAAACTGTAAGAGCTTGGTAACTTCTGGAGAGAAAAAGAAATATATGTGAAAATAAATTAGACATCTACACGAAAAGTTTCATGATCAGATAATCTTACCTCGTTGATGTGGTTGAAGAAACCTCTGTATATATGGATAAAAGTTGAAGAGGAATAAATTATGCAAACCAATAAGTCTGGAGACAATATCTAGAGTCATTAATTTTATTTCAAATCTGTCATTATTCTTTTCTATCTGTTTGAAAAGTTTTTCAGCGAAATCTTGAGGATCGTGAATTAAATGTAATGCTGAAAAATTGTACTGTGGTGCTTTAGATTTCTTCTTTTTTGCTTTCTAAAAACATACAAATTGAAGTTTTAAATCATTACAAATTTTAACATACGGATATTACTATAGAAAATCGTTAACTTACGACGAATAACTGCTTAACTTTTTTCAGTTGCTTCTCTCGTTTCTTGGTTTTTTTGTTGACTTTATTAGCCATTATAACTTCTCGTATATTTGGTTCATTATCCGAATCACTATCGTCGCTTTCTTTTTCTTCCGAATCGTGTCCCAGGAAAAATTTTATACTAGCAACTGCTACTTTCGTTATCTTAGAAAAGCAACCTGTGGCTATAACATTGACAGTTTTTGCATCATTCCATACATTTTTATTATACAACTCTATCATAATGTCTATGGACATCTTAACGGCTTTCGCATTAGAATCTTTTAACATAGAAAACATAAAATTTTGCAACACTGTATTAACTTTGGCATTTTTACGCTTTATATTGATATTCTTGATATCTGTAATTATATGTGTCTGGAGAAATTGTCTTAGAGCCTTATCTTGGCATTTTAGAAGTTCAAAAAATAAACTAAGGAGAGCAGTAGGTTCTAAGAGGGATTTGTTGCGTAATTGGATCAATGCTTTGCAAAATGTCTGTAAAAAATATAGAAAATATAGTAATAAGTTATAATCATACATAAACATATTTTTATTCGCATAATGTAACTGTAATATATATAATGCTTACCATACGCATTTCATTGTCTAATATAGTGTTATGAGTTCTTAATATGTCAACAATTTCTTGAGGATACGTATTTAAATCCTCAATATAACAATGAGCTACCTGTAATATGCAAAAAATAAACAAACTTTATTTTTAGCTTATATTTAACGCACATACACGCAAGCGCGCGTACGTACACATATAGATATGTGTGTATCTAATGTTGTAAAAATATATAGTGACTATGAAGAGAATTAATATAAATTATTATACAATACTTGCACATGCAAAATTAAGAACAGTATTATTGTTCAATTAGATTGATAAATGAAAGATGTGAATGAAAAAAAAAACGATATTTATTTTCATAAAACTTTTAATTAGAAAAGAATCAGATTTTCTTATGAGTTTACAAAATTATAATATTCTAAGATAAACTAATGTTATGTTACAATAATGTTCACATCCCAAACTATCAAACAAAATTCATACAAAACTTATAAATAAATGAAGATATATGCATTCTATTACATAGTGAATTTTTTTATAAAAGAAAAACATATTATATAATGTTATTAAAAATAAACATAAATAACTATAACTATGTAGAATTATAACTGAAGACAAATGTAATCAAAGATATAAGATTTATATGTATTCTATATATATATTCAGTTCATATCCATGCTTAAATAATTCTTTATATCAAAACCAACTGTCTTAGCTACAACTGTGACAAAATCACGACTTGCGCTGCATTTATATTTAGGTTCGTCTAAGTAAAAAATGCTATCTCCGGTAACAATTAACAAGCCAAGTTGACACATGGTAGATATTTGTGCTAGTAGATTAGCATTAATGTCTACTTTTTCATCAAGAATAGTGCAGAAGATCGCGAGCATTCTCGTAATGGTAAAGACTCGTGGTTTCTTCTGCAAACCTGTTTCCATTATATTTTTAGTCGACCGAATTTTCTTTTTTTTTTTATTACTCTTCTTCATGAAGATACGTTGATCATATTTTGGCAGATTATGTGAAGCTAAATATGCTGCAATTAGCATGTACTTAGTATAAAACGGTAGCTCGAAACTCAAGGCTAATTTTGTTGTTGATTCAATCTCTCGAGATATCTGATGGTTCGACTGCAAAAGATCATCTGTGGAAACTCGGAGATAAATTACTTCCAAATTAGATTTCAAAGTAGCAGAAATATTTCGCCATAGTGCAGCAGCATTATTTGGTTCAATTTGTTTATTTTCTATAGGTTCTATATATTTAGTAAAATTTATTTTAGCCATATGTCGCAGCTCATTCAAATCTCTACAAAATCGAAAATATACAGAGAGAAAGAGATTCAAGTAATTCTTATAGAATTGAGAATTGTATTTTGGTGGCTTATCCAATAATAACAAATGAATCAGCTCCTCTTTTGTATATTGTGGAAAATATATTTTTATAGGCTCCAACATACTAATTTTAGTGCAAAAATTTGTCCATGAGATCTCACTTATAAAGATTGTACATAAATTAATACCAGACAATTCTCTGAGTCTTAAGATTGCTGGTATAAAAGTTACATCAAAATCTCTTATTTTATGAAATTTATCAAATACCAATACAATTGGACGTTCATTGATATGTGAAATTTTTTTGAGTGTGTATATAAAGTCTACCATATTATCGCAATTATGCTTTGACAGTATATCAGTATTTGATTTTTCTGTGGCCACTGCTAAATCATCTAATATATAATTGTATATATGTCTATTACCAAAATGTTCCATACAATTAATATAGCTGATATTATACTTCAAATGATCAAGTAAACTTTGTATAATTAATGATTTTCCAGTAGCCATGTGACCATATATAAATATGCTCTGTGGCAATGGTTCATTTTCTGCATTAATTAAAGAATACAATTGCATTATGATATTATCGCGACAAATAATACTATTGCTTATCTTCTCTAAATATTTTTCCATTATTATAATTCAAGATTCTAAAAATAATGTTGGAATGAACTAGAATTTTTAGTTCTTTTTACTGTATTATGTACTGTAGTACTCAAATGAGAAATTAAAAAAGTTACTAATATTGTTGTGATTTATGGAACAATATGTCAAGCTTAGTATATTCTTAATGCTTTTATAATTAAAAAATGCTAACCTGTGCTAAAAAGGTTATCAAGTCATCAAGACTTTTGTTAAATTGTGTTGGTTCTAGATGAAAAACTTCTAATGTAGATTTGTAATGCTGGTACTGTTGCAGAAACTGTAAAACAAATTATATTTTTATATTTTTTGAAGTAATGGACATATAAAAAGATAATATAATACAATAAATAAAATATCATGATATAAAAGATAAACAATTGAAAATTTACCTCTTCTTTATAAGATTCTGGATCACGTTTGATAAGATTTTGTAGTTGTGGAAGATTATGTGGCAATTGATTGTTGTGTCTTACCATTTTTGCAATCTACAAGTGTATAAATATTAGAAAATAAGTTATAACAAGATATAGATAGAACAAAAGATATATATATATATATATATATATATATTATCTTTATACTTACGTCCCATGAAACTTTAAACTAATGGATCTATATAATTTATGTACGTTTTTACGTCCAATTTATTTTAGAAACTCGTCCTATCTAAGCAACCATCTCTCATACGCCACATGTAAAATAATGACCAAAGGTTTAGGACCAGAGCACAGACTTCTGCATAACGCATAAAGTCCCTTGCACAATGCCAGGCAACAGGCAATAAGAATAAAAATAGACCAATCACAATAGATTATTCTTGTAATAGTTGATTGTGATTGGTCTATTTTTATTCTTATTGCTTGTTGCCTGGCATTGTGCAATGGGCCTAAAGCCAGCGGCACATGGTGCTTGTTTTCATGCTGGATTACTTGCTGGATGAAAATATTGCGTTGTGATTGGTACATTTCCGAAAATGGATGGAAATGCACCAATCAGAACGCAGTATTTTCATCCAGCAAGCAATCCAGCATGAAAACAAGCACCGTGTGTCGCTGACTTTAAACCAATTAAGCCAGCGGCACACGATGCTTGTTTTCGTGCTGGATTGCTTGATGGATGAAAATACCGCGTTCTAATTGGTGCATTTCCATCCATCTTCGGAAATGTACCAATCAGGACGTAGTATTTTCATCCAGCACGAAAACAAGCACCGTGTGCCGCTGGCTTTAGTTTTCTTCATTTCCCTCCTCAGAACAGAAATGAAGAACTCTGATTGGTTGATTCTCTTATGCGTTGTGTAGTATGTGTTATGCAGAAGTCTGTGCTCTGGCCCTTCTTCTTCTTCACAATTGGCCCGGAACTAGGTATTCCATTAGCCAGTCTTATTGGTGAAATTTTCTTGGTGAGACTTTAGCTGCGTTTCGATATTCACTGCCAGCACTGAAATTCTATGGTATACGTGACACAAACTATGTATTTTCAGTACTGGCACTGAATTTCGGAACGCAGTCTTTATTAGTTATTTAAGACTAATGATAGTGATAATGGTAAAGGAAAGCTCTGTTATGTTGTATCGTTTTTTTTTATATTATTAAGAAACTTTACCAGAATAAAAAATACTCTGGAGTTATTTGAGAAAGCAATATCTGTAATGTTACTGGAAGGAGAGATGCCAAGTTTGTAAAGTTCCAGTCGCAACTTATCACTAGCGACGCAATGGCCGCGTTCAGCAGAAAAAGCTGCTTACTAAGCGCTTAGTGATTATCGTTTCTGATTGGTTCATTCTCCTGGATTTGTTAAAGATCTAAAAGAATACTCCGATCATAGATAATAATCACTAAGCGCTTAGGCTAATATTACATGTGTCGTACGACAAGCTTTTCGGATACATTGATTGGCGTACGCAGAGCAACCCTAGAAATATTATATTTGTTAACCAATCAACGTATTCGAAAAGATTGTCGACAAATATAATATTAGCCTTAGTAAGGAGCTTTTTCTGCTGAACGCGGCCTATGATTAGTACAGTGGAAAAACAAATGCTCCGAACTCTGAACAATGCTCCACATGGGCATGACGGATCGTCTAGAATGTTTTTGTTTGCGAGATGTTCATTGGTTAGAATGTGGTGAGATCTTATTCTTGCAATCATGCTTAAGCTAAGACTCCATGCATGCGGTGAGCTCCGGCAAACGGTTGCGGTGACCAATCAGGAGGGAGGCGCAAGTCCGGTTGCGGCAAGCTCCGGCATGCGTCTGTCTCCTGATTGGTCACCGCAACCGTTTGCCGGAGCTCACCGCATGCATGGAGTCTTAGCTTTAGCTTTAGGATACTTCTAGGGAGGTACTGGGTGCAATGCTTGTCTTCGCGCTGGAAGTCATTTTGACCAAAATATTTAATAATTACTTTAAATTGATTATTGTAAAGTAATAAAGAGGATAAATCTAAATTATTTCGATATTATTCATTCCTATAGTTCAAAACTTCAAAAGTCAATATCTCTTCAAGGAAGCGTTTGCGAGCAAACTTCCAGATAAAATATTCGTTTGTTTTGAGGTCCTAAATTTATATTTTAAATTTGGCTATTTAACCCGGAAACACCCTGTATCATAAACTGTGAAATGCTGTGACACGCTACGACACACAATAAACAATTGGAACATGATTTTTTATGTAGACACTTTTCGCATGTATCGACTGCAAGCGTACACACTTTTCGCGCATTATCGACTGCAAGCGCTACTAGTACCATCTTGTGTTAGAAATTGGAAAAGGACAATTCCGACGACGTTTCTTACTTACAAAATTTTACATTTTTTACTATGCATCGTAATATCTCTGATCCTAGGATATATAGAGCAAAAATAAAAATACTTTCATTATGTAATTCGACTCCAAGCTATCGATTAAGCATAATGTGAAATTAATCCATTCAGCCGTTATTGAGATCCGATATCGGCGATACTTCCCAACTAGATGCGTCGTATACAGATACACGGTCCGCCTCACCGTTGCTGCGCGTGAACTTGCCGCGAGACACGACCGTCTCTTGATTTCAGTGGTTAATACACATTCTTGATAGAGTTTTAAGCAGTTAGCTAGTAACTAGTTACTCAATTAAAAGTTAAGTTAAAAAGTTAATAACTTTTAACTTAGTTTTAAACGTGCCAACTTTTAATTTGAATTAATCATTTTTAAATGCATTAATATTAAGCAGATCTAATAAAATGACTATGTAAAATGCTATTGCATAGTTTTTTTCATAAAGGAGGAAACCATTTTTTAATAGAATTTCTATAATCTCGGAAATTTTTCTGATGATAATCAGAATGGGAATCGATTGACTTCGTTATCAAAAATTTAAAACGAGACATACCACCTATCAAATATTATTTTAATAAATCATTAATGAATGGCGGGTTACGATGTTCAAGACTTGGGTCAAATAGGGATAAAGTTAAGTTGGTTTTCCACAATTCACTTTTTGTATTCAGAAACTTTACACAGAATATTATTGATAATACGGTGAACGGTTATTATATATAGCCTTATTAGCCCGACGTATGTTATTTTAACTCGTTAGGTCTCAGAGTTATTTATTTTATTTTATTTAACATAATTAACTCTTAACTTCAATAAATTAAATTAATTTTTAGACTTATTAATTTTTTAATCGAATTATTTAAGTAACTTTTATCGTAAACATAGTTAATTTATGAGTTATTAATTAAAATTAATTTAATTTAAAAAAGAATTAATTTACTCAATTTATCTGGTTTTAGATACTTTTTTGATATGGTATTTATGAAAATAAATATTCATTCAGATAAAATCATGATAAAAGAAATGCTAAAGATATAATATGTGAATCCTTATCTTTATTTGGAAATATATTTAAATTTAACATTAACGTTGTCATGATGTCAATTAATTTTGTTTGTCTTAAATGCATTATGTAAAATATTCAAAGTATCTTATATTGTTCATGGTATATATGGTAATGTATATATTGTGCAAAATAATATACAGTCTCAATTGATATTTCAATTATTATGAATAATTATGCATTTGCTGGAATATGATAATAGTAATAAAAAAGATTAATAATATAATGCATTAGCACAAAATTGAATATATACAAACAGAGATCATAAATTATTATGTTAAATAACATAAGTAAAGCTTGCAATTTATAAATGAAACTGGATTTGATTTTCCATAATATGACAGTACTGATTACACTGATTAGACTGCTACATTTTGCTTTTTGTAAATTCTGAAAATTGTATAAGCGTCCCATCATCAGTGGCAAGTAAGGTATGAGAATTGCCTGTAAACATTAAACGCACGTTATATATTAATTATTGAACTAAATATCTTAGAATTGAATATCAGGATTAATATAGATTGAAATCTCAGAACTAAATATCTAAAGAAATTATTATAGAAAATTACCTTTCCAAACCAATCATCTAATTTTAATAGTAGTAAAATATTAATAATAGCAGCTAGCATGATAAGATTTACACGATACGATAAATATGTATATAACATAAATTTTCCATCAAATAATTTTTCCCAGGAATATGTATTTCTATCATTGATGTTACTTAAAAATTTTTCATCTGGTTCATCGTGTTCATATCCATTAAATCTTATACGAGATCTTTCATATTCATCAAATTCTGCATAATGCAGATCTTTACTGTTTCCAAATTTATATGTACCATTTCGTATATTTTTATTCCTCCTATATTCCTCCAAACTTGTTTTTTCAATTTCATGGTTTTCTACTGGAGATTTATCTGCTGAAATAATTTTTAAACTTGTTAATCCAAGATTAGAATCTATTTATACAATGTTAAGATAATATTAATAATAAAATTACAAATGAAAACAAAAAAATGATATTAAAAGATATCTGAAAAAAAAAAACTTAGTAAATATAGAAAATAGATAAAACTTATAGAAAATAGATCATTCTAAAATATATTACACTAAATATATATATATAGATATGTTCCCGCACATACGCATGCATGCACACACACATACATATGTATATAAGATGTAACGGCTCGCACGGTTTTTTAGATACTTCCAATAGTTTAAATTAGAGTTTGTAATGTGAATATTTATCTACTTTATATAAGCTACAATTTGTAATATAAAATTTAAAAAAAAATGCGAAAAATCCGTCATTAAAATTTTTGTATAATAAAACTACGCAATCTTTTTTAAATAATATTATAGAAAACTTTAAGATAAGTTCAATACATTATCAGAAATATCACTTTTAATATAGAATACAAAAACAATAGAATAACAATAGAAAAATAATAAAAAAATTTATGAAAGTAAATATGCAAATTATTTGCCTCCTTCACATACAACACAAAGTCTTGCATTCTTTTTACAAATTATTAGATGTTCTTTTTATTTTCAAAAGAATTTTTGAATTAGTGCAATAAGTTGAAGTAAAACATATATTTTCTCTTATTCTAATTTATTATATTAGTATGCATTAGCTTGAAAGTTTTTCAAGTTTCTTTGAAAGTTGTTTAAAAAAAAAAATACAGATTTATGTATATAGTAGCTATTACACTATTCAGACCAAAAGTTGCACAAGATGTAATTATCCTTTTTCGAGGATCCTGAACATCATTAATTAATGTTTGATACGAGTTTGCAGATATCCCCAAAAAAAGAAATCCATCAAAGATAAATTCGGAGAATGAGCCAGAGAGACATTAAACTAGTCTATATGTATTTATAACACAATTTTCAAAAATATTCTAAAGATAATTTTGAACTATTTGTATATTATTGAATGGACAATTATTCTGTTGGATATATACTCCTTATATCCAAGGGGATATTTTGCATTAGTTCTGGATGGTACCAGTAAAAAATCCAATTGATACATATATCTTGTAATTTAAAATATTTATGTATTTATATAATAAATATTATATATTTATATAATAAATATTGTGTATAATTTAAAATACCTATGTATACTACTCAGGATGAAAGAGTTAAGAAAATGTAGATATTAATGCAAGGTTAAGTTTACTTTGTAAAAATATAGCCTAATCAAATAATAATTTAGGATATCATATCAAACATTAATTACTATACCATTTCATAAGTTGAAATTTTTCTATGGTTTTCATATTGTTAGTAATAAAAATGATCTTGTAATAGTGCATTAAATCCATCTTAAAATCTTTTAAAATATATAAAAAAGATTATATGGTGTCATTAAAAAGCAAAAAAATCAAGATAACTGGTTTTTTATGAAGAAATTTTTTCAAATTTTTTATTGCTAATTGTAGCCTGTATAAAGCAGACAAATATTTATCTTATAACCTTTTCTTTAAATTGTCATGTCTAAAAAATCAAATAGATTATGATCCTGAACATCTTGTATATACTGTTCCCCAAATATATATTGTATTAAAATATTATAATTTTTTGTTATTACTAATATAAGTTATTACAAGAGTAATATAAAGTTATTATAAATAAAGTCATTATTACTACAAGACAGATCCAACTTGGTTCTTAATAATTGAAATTTGAAAGTAATGTTGTCTTTATGCAAAATAGTATAATAGTTTGCATTGTAGATAATGTATATCAGCATATGTTAAATTAAACTGACAGAACTTTGACCAAGTATTTATATTAATCAAAATATCTTTTATAACATTGTAATAAATTGTTTATATGCATAATGCATTTCCCAATTATAGAAAATGCTTTAAAATATTTTTATTTTTTCAACAATTACTATGAATTTATATAAATATCTTAGATATACAGGATATATACAAGTTTGTGTTACAATTGTTTACCACATAATTTAGTATTGACAGCATTGTAGTTAATTGAGTTACATATAGATATTGCATGCATTGTGTCATTATGCGCAAGTTCAGATGATTGACTCCTCAGCTGCTTGAGCTAAAATCCTAGTACAAAAAAGTTTAGATACTTAACATACTTAATGCATTATAAAAATATGAAAATACAAAAATTACACCTGTAGTGGAAAAGATTTTAAGACTCACATAATGTTTTTACTATATTTTTATAATGCATTTCCAAATAGCTATACTTTTTCATACTAGGATCTTAGCTCAAGCAGCTAAAGAGTCTATCATCTGAACTTGCCTGTAATGACACATGCGTGTAATATCTATATGCAACTCAATTAACTACAATGCTGTCAGTAATGCTAAATCATATGGTAAAAAGTTATAACACAAACTTGTATATACGCTATATAAAGAAAATATATTCATATATACAGAAAATATAATTTCAAATTTTTTCAAACCTCACATTATATTTGGCTTCACATATAAATCTATAAGCTTATTTAATCATATATATGTCTATTTAATCAATTTATTATATTTACCTTCAGCTTCTCTCTCATCTAGATTATGTCTTGCTATAATCTTATGTAAATGACTTTCTGAATTTTCCAAAATTCTCCGACTTCTTGTTTCTTTTCTGGCATTTGTTTCATGTATCGTATCTGATTGCATAGAATGCACATAGATTATTAATACGCAAGTCATTTTGTAACACACATATGTACATTTAAATATGGATTGTACGTTCATTACTCATCCACAAATACGATAATGTATTAGGTAGAATATATACATATGGTTATATTTACCTTCAGTTTCATTCGGACTGTGTCTCGACATAATCATGTGCAAACGACTTTCTGAGTTTTCCAGGATTCTTCGTCTTCTTGCTTCTCTTCTAGCGTTTGTATCTGTACTTGGTTCCATTGAATATACTTCGATATTAACACACGTCTTTTTGTTCACTTATCTGTAAATTATATTTATTTTAAAAAAGTTAAACAGAATCTAACAAAACAAACTAGCATTTGCGATGTGAATAAAATTCCACTTGAAAAGCATTACATATATAAAAAAATTAATATCCCAAAAGAAAATTTCTTAACCTCAACTCACGTCATTACCTTCCTATAGCCGGTTACACATAAACGCGACACGCTTACCACGCGACGGAAGTTAAGCCGTAACAGTGAACTATATACTATACTAGAGCGTGTTCTAAAATTCACTGCCAGCGCTGAAAAGTTATAAGGCCTGTTCGTTTTGTCTGTACTGCTGAAACAAGTGGTGCAACAAGTAAAGCCAGCGGCACACGGTGCTTATTTTCGTGCTGGATTGTTTGCTGGATGAAAATATTGCATTCTGATTGGTGCATTTCCAAAGATGGATGGAAGGTCCAGGGGTTATGCCGGACTCGCACCGGCTAAAACACCTGGGGGACACCGCCGGGAGGATGCAGCTAGTAGCGGCCACTAGTACTATGTCTATATTCCCTTAGCTTATCCGCCACACCCTATGGCCCACCTGAGTGAGCACCTCCATGGACGCCGCACGCCGTGAGGCTTAACGGGGGGGTGGTGTGGAGAAGGAAGGGAGAGCATAGACATATAATAAATAGACCGCGCATTCAGCAGAGGGGGCCTTCTATATTCGAAAAAGACAACATGCTTTCGTTGAGCAATCTATCGCTTTCTAACGATGCGTGGTGGGAGTAAAGCAGTCTTCCGTGACAGGGGAAACAGAAGTAGGAGAATATAGAGAAAGGGGAATTGTGAAAGGCAAAGAGAAGAAAATACGTCTGATATAAATACACGCATATGGAAAAATGACGATTTTGTATGGAAAAATGATGAATATGGGCATATGACGATGGGTATAATTACATACCCATCGTCATATAATGGAAAATAATCTGTCACTTTTATATGCATTACTGCGGCATACACAACAATATAGACTCATTGTGTTACGATTATACTTTTTGTGTTATGATTATATTATTATGAGTAAATACGTTTTATAATCTTTAATGTTAATCGTCTTGTTTACATACGCTTTGTTTCACGAAAAGAAGGAGAACCGGAGACATAACACTCCACTCTAAACAAGCGGAAGGGCCAAATATCCCACCACGCATCGTTAGAAAGAGACAGACTGCTCTACGAAAGCATGCTACCTCTTTCTAATATTGAACATGTGCAGACAAAGGAAACGTTGCGAATGCGCGGTCTATGTATTATATGTCTATGAGGGAGAGCCGCTCTAGCTCGCAAGCTAAGAGGACTCAATCGCCGTTCCTGTGCAGTCCCCTCTTTCTCAAGCCCCGTATCCAGGCGGAAGGGGAAGGTCAAACCGTTACTGGGCCCTGAACGCAACGCCCTTCAGGATCCTGGACCTCCTTATAACCACCATTCCGCCCGGGAGCTCTTCGCCTCTTGCTACGATGTGCGATGCCGACCATCCGGTTAACTACCTAGCTATAATTATAATTGCAATTATTAGATTTACACTATACTTTACAATGGCAAATTCTTCTAACTCTAGACTTAAACCTCTTCGTATTCTTCAGTGAAATTGTCGCTCCATAAAAGCTAGGTTAACGGATCTATTCTCACTCTTAAACAATATTGATTCTCTCCCAGACTTTTTATGCTTGACAGAAATATGAAATATGGTTGAAAGATTCGGACTCGCTTAATATAGCTAACTATAGACTAGTCACCCACAACAGGAGTACAACAGGTGATGGCTCTGCTATTGCATGTCGTTCTGATATCAATTTCACCTTAATTAACATAGAAGCTCTCAATCACATTTGCACCAAATACCATATTGATTGTTGTGTAATTCGCTTTATTTCTAATAATACCCTTATTATGCTTGCTTCACTCTATAACCCACCTAATAATAATTTATCCACTGTAGGCTCGAATATAAGCGCTTGGGAGGATATTTTTCACTGCTTTGACAATTTTGATAATGTTATTATCACAGAGGATTTTAACTGCAAACATCCATTATGATGTAAAGCTACCCCACGTCCTAATCTCAATGGCATCAACCTTTCAGAGGCCATTTCTAATTCTATCCTTGGCATCTGTAATAATGGCTCTCCCACTTGGCATTCTGTTGATCTTGCCAGCTTTAGTGCTTTAGACCTCACACTTGTATCTCCCTCCCTTATGAATACTTTAGAATGGGAGACCCTTTCTAACTCCTATGGCAGTGATCATTATCCCATTATCATTATCTTTTCCAGCGTCTTACCTACTAAATCTTTCTGCAGGCCTCACTACTCTCTATTTAAAGTTGACTGAAACAAATTCAACAACCATATGAACTCTTCATCCAAACGCGAAGACCTTCTCCAATCGAAGGGAGCCCCGGAAGTAGCATTAGCGTACGAGAATTTCGTCCAGCTTGTTGATCTTTGCGATCCGTTGGAGCCCGTGTCAAGAAATCAGTTGGCTTCTCACGTAGACCACTTTCCCCATGGTGGGACGAAAACTGCGCTAAGATTGTCAAACCCAAGATTACTGCCTTTCACGAGTTTAAGAGACACCCTACTGGAGAGAATTTGGATAAAAAGAACGATATTTGTAAGATAGTTAAAAAGCAACTTAGAAAAATACGAAATGATAAATATAAGGAGTTCTATTCTTTGTTGAATAAGGATTCGGACGTTAACAGTGTATGGAATTCGGTATCGGCATTTAAGAAAAAGAAACATCTTTTTAACATTAATGTTGAGTTATCAAAAGATAGCCTTGATGTAGCTACGTCTACTTTTAACAAGGCAGTTCCAGATAGAGTTCATATTATTGTCACTTTCTTTCTTGAGAGATAACATTAAAGCCAGTGATTTAACGTGCCTGTCACCTTTTATTGATCATCAGTGGGACTGTCAAATTCTTCATGAAGACTTCAGCGCTGAAAAAATTTAACCTTGTTATTCAAAATAATCTTAAGAAAAATAAAACCCCGGGGTCCGACCTTCTTTCTTTCCGTATCCTTTCGCACTTTCCGTCTTGGTGTTTTAATTTTATTTTCGGTCTGTTTAACGATTTCTTCCGTCAGGGTATTTACCCTTCCTCCTGGAAGCAATATTATGATTTTCATCCCGAAACCAGGTTCCACAAAGTTCTATATCTCTATATCGTCCTATATCTCTGGCTAATACTTTACTAACAATTTTTGAATATCTAATTAAAAATCGTCTTGAATGATGGGTTGAAGCTCATAAGGTATTACCGTTCTATCAGAATGGATTTAGACGTGGTAGATCATGTGCTAACAGTGCCCTTGCTTTAAAAATTTTTATATTCGAAGAGCCTTCCACGACAAGCAGATAGTTGGTGCTGTCTTTGTTGATCTTAAAGGTGCTTTTGACAATGTTAATCCCTTTAAGTTGCTCCATATCCTTAAAGATCTCGGAATTCCTAATAAAATTCTTAAATTTATTTCTCACCTTTTAACTGACAGAATCGTTTCTGGTTATTATCGAGGACACTATCTGGGTACACGTACTGGCTCCCTGGGTGTACTTCAGGGATCCAGTTATGAGCCCTTTACTATTTGATTTATACATAGCTAATATTCACTCAGATTTAGATGACTCGGTTGAAATTATGGCCTATGCCAATGACTTAGTTATTTTTACCAAACACAAAAGCATCTATAAGATAACACAAATTCTCAATTCAAATCTCAAAACTCTTATGAGAAACCTTTCTAGACTGGACCTGGAAATCTCTACCGATAAAACTAACTGCTGTCTATTTGATAAGCGCAAACGGTTTCATACGTTGCAATCTTTTATCAGTCGTAATAGATTATGGCTTCAGCTTGGGAGCTCAATTATCCCATTCATCCCTTGTGTATCATTTCTGGGATATACATTTGACACTAACCTATCTTGAAAACCACATGCTAAAAAACTTAAAATTGCCCGCCAAATGCGTATCAATATACTCAAATCCTTTGCAGGAATAATGTGGGGCTCTCATCCAACACGCTCCTAATGATATACGAGGGTATATATAGGAGTGCTATTAACCCTTTGCGGTCGATGCCGCCACTATGGCGGCATTCGCAAGTCGTCGTAGAAGTCGGTGCCGCCAGGCTGGCATTCATGATCGCCTGGCGTGCGGCACGGCAAACGAGGCTAGCGATAATGAAAGAAAACTATCCTCCCGATGCTAGATTCAAATGTTTAGATCAACTTACAGATATCAATATTTATCGATCTCTTCGAAATCGGCCGACCGCAAAGGGTTAAACTAGTATGAGAAAATTTTTCGTGATCTTATATCGTATATATAAAATATTTGTTTCTGTTACAACTCTCTATGTTGTGTTGAAGTTGTGTTGTGTCTTTATCTCTTCTGGCAATCCCCCTCCAAAAACTTCCTTTGTGTCATTCTAAACGATCGTTAAGAATGACGAAATGATTCGAGCATCGGAACAATCGTCAGTAGAGCAAGCAGCAGTGTGCGTTTACTAGATACAGAGCAGTTCGGTGATCATATTTAAATTACATATATCATAACAATGTCAGAGAATCTTTCAACAAGCAAAATAGTTGATGTAGAATCGCTAGAAGAAAGATCTTTTGAAAATGAAGATTTTAAAGGTGAATTCACTTAATGCTCTCGTATATGCGAATTCTATTTACGAGAATAATGAATTATTGTCGAAAAATCCTCTAGCGAAAATATAATATATTTTTACTCCTATTTCCATTGCAATTATTATATAAAAATTTTCTCATACGCTATATATTTTATAGAAAAGATTTACGGCTTTTTTGCAATTTAAATCATTAATAATATATTTAACAAACACTAATACATTTAAGAAACGCAGTTTTACTTATTAATGTTTTCTGTTTCATTTTTATGCTTACAGAATAAAAAAAAACCATACAGCAGGGATCGAACCTCAGCCGTCAGTCCGGTAGTCCGTTATCTTCGCTGCTGCGCTACGCTGCTTCATTGAATACCCTTCTTACTAACTTGTACACTTTGTTGGCTCTTTTCTTTAGACCGTTTTTTCTTGAAAACGAAGAGGTATTGCGTCGTATGCTATTACCATGAGTTATTAGTAATCAAGTACTATTAACTTCGTAAGTTTCGTTCCAAACCGTTTCCCGGTCCATGCGTCTTCCCCTTATCAGTCATCTTTTTTCACCATAATCCAATCCTCTTGGAACTTTTTTCGAATATTAAAGAGCAATTTACTGCCCTCCTCCTTTGATTATCCATTTAAGCTTAGATTTTTTGTACCTAACATTTGCACCAATTTATTTGATAGTATAAAAAGGTTCAATAGAAGGCAAGGTAATCTTTGGTTTGACTGTAATAATAAAAAGATCAAGGCTGCTGGGCTGGTCAGGCGGGCTAGTGGCATTATTCGTGACATGAATCTCTCTATGGAAATTTATACAGATGGATCGGTTCTAATTGACCGCAGTGCTGGTTACGGGGTGTTTGCTCCGAATTCTGAATATAGGGAATCCATCCATACCTTTGATTCTAACAATATCTTTTACGTTGAATCTATGACCATCCTCCGGGCAGCGAATATTGTTGCATCTGAAAGACCGGATAGAGTCGATATTTTTACTGACTCCTTTAGCACGATTAATGCGCTTAGCTCCTCTGATTTGGAAGGAAAATCTCATCGCATCATCCAAAGAATCAAATTCGCCTTGTGGAAAACTACAAGAGAGGGAATTTATATCATACTAGCGTGGATACCAGGACATAAGAACATCCCCGGTAATAAGATGGCAGACACGCTAGCGGGCCTTGGTACGCGCAGCTCCGAGACTCCCCTTGAACTCCTCTCACCCTCTTGGTTAGGGGACTATATTGATGGCTTCAAAGACAAAATAAAGAAAGATGCAAAGACTTTCTTGAGGATGAATTTACTCGTAAGGGCACAAGATACAGAGCTAACATATCTGAACTTGCATCGAAACTATGGTTTTCCAATCTGGGTCACACCAATAGATGTGTAATCACTCTTATGGCTCGGCTCCGTTCATATCACATATGCACAACGGAGCATCTAAGAAGGAAGCTTAATATAATAGATAATACTTGTCAATGTGGATGGCATAACCGTGATATTGATTATATTCTGTACAGATGTCCTCTATTTGCTAAAGAATCTGACAGTCTTTTGTTAAAATTATATTACAAAGGAGATATTGCATGCAATCAGGAAGTGGAAAAGTCGGCTTTCAATACCAACTTTATTTCAAGCTTCGTTGAAATATCCAGATTTCTACTGAACACTAACCAATCGTTGTAAACTTCTCCCTATGACTTAATATAATGTGTGAGTAGCGTTGGAGCATCTATTGTATGCACAGAGCCATCTATTGAAGAAGAAGAAAAAGAAATCTGTCCTAACACAAAACATAACTTGTTACGAGCAAGTATATTTGTTTATATTCGTGTTTTGCATATTATGGTTTTTTTAGTCTCTGCTGCAATCTATGTAACATTCTATATATATATCTCGGTGATTCGATTTCATCTAGACTTCCTGTCATAAGGGTGTTTGTATTATTGCTCAATGATGCTCTCATCAAGCGGTATTAACAACGAAGAAATAATGAGTCTTGATTCTTGGGGCGATGAAGTATTTTCGAATCTTACACCTCGAGGTATTATTAATATATATACACATACACGGTGTTTGCATATATATAAAATATTCAATATCTTTTAAATAAAGTATATACACCACATGTATCCATGGATATATAAAAAAATTTTATTAAAGAAAATATTTCATTATATTTAGTTATTCCTCCATAATACTTTGAATAAAATAAAAAAATATTAATATTATCATATAATTTTCAAAGGAAAGTAATCATTAAAAATAGTAATCACAATTAGCTTAAACTGTATTATATATATATATATATAGGTTATGTTGAAATAAGAAATAATATTTAAGAAGCTATTTTGTTTTATATTAATTATGAAACAAAAGCAACTAAGTTTTTTATTTATTATCATGGATTGTATAATGTAAATTTAGAAAATATTTTTATTTTACTAATAAGTATATATTAAAGATCATTTATTACCAAAATATATATATTTTTGTTACAGAACTCGAGTTTCATTCTCTTAATGAGGAAGATTTATTGAACATTAAACAAGAAATATCTGATATTTCTATTCTGCAAGAAAGAAAAGAAATATTTGACAAAATGTTAGAAGATACTAGTTCGATTGATTCATTTTTATTAGCTTTTAATGAATTTCAATCTTATCCTATAAATAATTATTCAGGTATCTATGAAAATATAATCTCTTAGAAATAGCTCATTTATACATGCACATATATATGATTTCTAAAATTTTTAGAATTAAATGAAATAAATGAAATAAAAGATGATATTAAAATGGAACCTCAGAGTCTAAACTCACAATTCTTAACATCAATCGATAATCTTAATGACTCTTCAGATTCTACTGCTTTGAATTGGAAATCTAAAATATCAAAATATTGTCCAGTACAAAATATGGATAAGGTATGTTGTATGTCATATTGTATAGCTCCTTTAAAATAAATATCCTTAAATATCAAGATTAAGTATAAGATAAAGTGTAAGTGTAAAATAAAAATTAATAATTTTCAGCACCTCAATATTTTTCAAGATTTCTAACATTATATTGGATAACACTGATACTAGTTTAATGAAACAATTAATATATATATATATATATATATATATTATAAAAAAAACTTTAATTATATCTTATTAAATTTTGTATGTAAAAAGTTCATTAGTATAAAACATTTTAATATATTCACAGCTGGTGATGTAGTACATGAAGCGTAATACTACATCAGTAGCTACAAATTTGTTAATATGTGAGTTTACTTTCTTACAAATAGAAAGCAAATGCAATATTTAAGTTTTAGTTTAATTTAAAAACCTGTTTAATTTAAAAACTTAGCATTTAAATACTTTTAATTATTTCGAATTTTGTAATGGCTAATTGAAAATTATTACATCATAACATATAAGAAAAGTCTATGTTACATTTATTGAATTATATCTTTATTTTTAGCTCATTCTACAAACTCCACCAACCTCACCCCAATCTTCATCAATACAATCATCTCTGATGCTTCCTGATGTGATGAACTTAATAAAGCCAGTAAACATTTTACCTGCTAACAAACAAAATATAAACTGTAAAAAGGACATTCGACAGAAAATGAATTCTATTAAATGTGTTCATGTTCAACTTGCAGACACAGGTTTTTATAAAAATAGATGTACTATTGCATAGATAATATAGTTATATATATTAGGTAATATATATTAAAATATATTAAGAGAAAGAAGGGGATGAGAGAGGGAGCAAGAAGGAGAAGGGAGGAATAAAATTACAATTTATAATATTTACAGATAAGCTCCAAAATGCTGTTATTCTTCACACAACAGATGGTACTGCATTTGTACAAAATATAAATTTGCAACAGCAAGAATTGCATGCTTCAGAAATGCAGCCTTTATCAACAACTGGACAAATTAGTACTTTAAATTCTTTAAATATGGACACAAGTGGTACAAAAACGAAGACAGCACTTCAATTACCACAAGATGTAGAATGTATACCAAATTTTTTTCAAGAAAATTTAGTTAGTAACAATACTTTAATGAATACTCCTGTCTATATAAAGAGTGAACCTATATCACTTAATGATATTGTTGTTAAAAGTGAACCGATAAATTGCACGCCATTTATAGTACAGAAAAGAGAAACAAATTGTTCTCCATTAATTGTAAAGGAAGAAACTGATACATTAAGTTCATCAGGAAATAAATCAGAAAATGAATCTATACAAGCGTTGAAGAGGCAACAAAGAATGATAAAAAACAGGGAGTCCGCCTGTCTCTCGCGAAAGAAGAAAAAGGAATATGTAAATTCTCTGGAGAAACAATTATCTGAGTTGAAGGAAGAAAATGAGAATCTAAAATTGGTAATTAATTTAGCATTTTGAAGTTGCTTCCAAATATCATTAAAAAAAAGTTTCAATTGTTCTTTAATATATTATATACTTATATAATTTTCATATTAGGAAAACAATTTCTTAAAGCAGAAATTGATAAATATAGAAAATGGTACTGCATCTAATAAAAGAAAAGTTGGAATTTTAAATCGTAATAGGAAGGGCATTGCTCTTTTTGCCATAATTTGCATGATATCTGTCAATATAAATTTTTTAGGGTAAGTACCTTATTGTTCATATATATATATATACTATATATACTATATGTATATGTATACTATATGTATATATATATATATATATATATATATATATACACATATACATACACTACTCAAAGCAATTAGAGGAGCGCTTTAAAACTTGTAAAATTTGATGGTTTTTAAGAAGCCATATTTCAGGTTGGGGAGGTTATAGAACAATGTTCTAGGGCGCATTTTAACGGGTGAAACCTCGACTTTAAAGAGGCTATAGTTTCATTATTAGATGTGTTTTCAGGTAATTGACCTTAAGTAGCACAATTTACATACATTTATATACATAAAAATGAGACATCTTAGCGAAAATGAAGTAGCGCAAGTAATCGCTTTAATAGAAGAGGATCCTTATCTCTGCTGACACAAACACACACACAATCACGCACATTTCATATTAAGGTACACATACACCATACACATGTGCACAATCCGACCGAGCAATCTTCCTATGGTGCACATCGGATAACGCGAATGCCGGTGGTGTTGCTAAAAATCTTGCAAAATGCAGAGGTGACTTTGAAATGCGACAACTCGGTTCCAAGATATGATAGAACAAATTTCCCACTTTAAAGCGAGTGTGGTGCCATTTTTATTTCCATCCCTGCTTTATTTGTGTATGGCTACAAAAGCATGAAATCTCCACAATTTTTTCACAACCTGATTTTGGGCCTCATAAGAAAAACAGTTCAATGGGACGAATAATGAAACCTTAGCCTCTTTAAAGTCGAGGCTCACTCGTTAAAATGCGCCCTGGAACATTGTCCTACGACCTTCCCAAGCTGAAATATGGCTTCTTAAAAACTATCAAATTTTGCAAGTTTTAAAGCGCTCCCCTAATTGTTTCGAGTAGTATATATGTGTGTGTGTGTGTGTGTGTGTGTGTGTGTGTGTGTGTGTGTGTGTGCGTGTGCGTGTGCGTGTGCGTGTGCGTGTGCGTGTGCGTGTGCGTGTGCGTGTGCGTGTGCGTGTGCGTGTGCGTGTGCGTGTGCGTGTGCGTGTGCGTGTGTGTGTGTGTGTGTGTGTGTGTGTGTGTGTGTGTGTGTAGATATTTTTCTTGGGAACTTGACACTTTAAAGTTATTCAAGTGTTCCGGTACTTTATATATATATACAGAGAGAGGAAAAAGTACCGGAACACTTGAATAACTTTAAAGTGTCAAGTTCCCAAGAAAAATATCTTAGATAAAAGTTTCAGTATTCTAAGTGATGAATTTCATGGTGCCTTTGAACTTGACCTTGGGGTCGATTTTCAAGCTCATTTGAAGGTCGACTCGAAATATTCAAATGGAAACTCCAATTTTTTATTACACCGTTCGTTTTTGCTAATTAATTTGAACTTTTCTCTCTAAAAACATTTCTCTCTAAAACATTTTTTTATTTGCCTAATATTCTTTTAGATATTTAAGGGAAACTTGGTAACTTTTTCAATATTTAATTTACGATATATCGCTTTTGTCGGAAGAAAAAGTGATACTAGACTTTTTTGCTCTATTTAGTTTCAAGAACATATTGTTACAATAGCTCTTTTGGGAATTTCAAAATCATCAAATTAACAAAAATCAGGGCGCTATTATAACAATATATTCTTGAGACTAAATAGAGCAAAAAGTCTAGTAACCGGTGTGAACCTGACACCCAACCTTAACAAAAAAAAATTTTATTATTATAATTCGTTTATACTTCGTTTGAACCTGATTGTACCACCTTTCATTTCGTTTGTACCTCAATAGTTAATAGAATATAGGAGGTAAAAAAATAGCCAGCACCCGACCAAAAGATATCCCAATTTGAATAATGCCATTCGAAAGATTATCGTTTGTACCCGTTTGTACCTCTCTTTAAATCGTTTATACCTCAAAGGAACCGGAAGTACAAATTATTCAAAATACCTCCAAGAGGTACTTTTGCCATTTTTTGAGATATCGTAAAATGGCCAACGCTATTCGAAAGAGCTTCATTAGCACCCGTTTGTACCGCTGTCCAAATCGTTTGTACCTCAAAGGGCTCGGAAATATAGAATTGTTTGTTATCCGGAATGTATAACGCCATAAATTTCTCAATTTTCAAGATATGTAGAAACGGCCACCGCCATTCGAAAGATCATCGTTTGTACCGGTTTGTACCTCTCTTCAAATCGTTTATACCTCAGAGGAACCGGAAATACAAATTATTCAAAATACCTTCAAGAGGTACTTTCGCCATTTTTTGAGATATTGAAAAACAGCCAACGCCATTTGAAAGAGCTTCATTAGCACCCGTTTGTACCGCTGTCCAAATCGTTTGTACCTCAAAGGGCTCGGAAGTATAGAATTGTTTGTTATCCGGAATGTATAACGCCATAAATTTCTCAATTTTCAAGATATGTAGAAACGGTCACCGCCATTCGGAAGATCATCGTTTGTACCCGTTTGTACCTCTCTTCAAATCGTTTGTACCTCAAAGGAACCGGAAGTACAAATTATTCAAAATACTTCCAAGAGGTACTTTCGCCATTTTTTGAGATATCGGAAAACGGTCGACGCCATTCGTGAAAGAATCGTTTGTACCTGTCTGTACCTTCCTTCAAATTGTTTGTACCTCAAAGGGACCGGAAGCACGAAAGTAACTTTCCGACATATTTTGAAGATCCTGTAGTTCCGGTTCCTCTGAGGTATAAAAGATTTGAAGAGAGGTACAAACGGGTATAAATGATGATCTTTCGAATGGCGGTGGCCGTTTCTACATATCTTGAAAATTGAGAAATTTATGGCGTTATATATTCCGGATAACAAACAATTCTATATTTCCGGTCCCTTTGAAGTACAAACAATTTGAAGGAAGGTACAAACAGATACAAACGATTCTTTCACGAATAGCGTCGACCGTTTTCCGATATCTCAAGAAATAGCGAAAGTACCTCTTGGAGGTATTTTGAATAATTTGTACTTCCGGATCCTTTGAGGTACAAACGATTTGAAGAGAGGTACAAACGGGTACAAACGATGATCTTTCGAATGGCATTATTCAAATTGGGATATCTTTTGGTCGGATGCTGGTTATTTTTTAACCCCCTATATTTTATTAACTCTTGAGGTACAAACGAAACGAAAAGTGGTACAATCAAATACAAACAAAGTACAAACGAATTATGGTAATGAAATTTTTTTTTGTTAAAGTTGGGTGCCAGGTTCACACCGGTAGTCTAGTACTACTTTTTGTTCCAACAAATAGCGAGATATCGTAAGTTAAATATTGAAAAAGTTATCAAGTTTTCCTTAAATATCTAAAAAAATATTAGGCAAATAAAAAGATGTTTTAGACAAAAATTGTTTAAATTAATTGGTAGAGAAAGACGGTGTGATAAAAAATTGAGGTTTCCATTTGAAAATTTTAAGTTGACTTCCGAATGACCTTGAAAGTCGAACCCAAAGTCCAGTTCAAGGGCACCATCAAGTTCATCACTTAGAATACTGAAACTTTTCTAAGATATTTTTCTTGGGACTTGACACTTCAAAGTTATTCAATTATTATGGTATTGTTTCCTTTCTCTATATATATATGTATATATGATGATTTTTAATCCAAATTAAAACATCGCTAATACTTAATATTTTTACATACATATACACATATATATAATTTCTTTAAAAAAAGTTTCTTTTTATTTTAAAAAATTTTGGATTTTTTAATTGAGTAAATTATTGTGCATGTATATATTATATTCCACAAATATAAAAAAAGGCATGTTTTTTATTTAAGGATTCTTTCATGGAAACTGAATTTAAAAATGTTATTTAATAAAGCACCAATACCAACATCCGAAATTGATGAAATAAAACATAGTAGAACATTGCTTTGGGCAGTAGATGAAAATAATAATGATATAGGGGATGACGTCGAAGAAAGTTTTAACAAAAACATGCCTGTATATCAACCAATATGTCCAAATATTAACCAGAGCGAGTCTATACGCTTAGATAGCGAATTGAGACGTTGGATCGATGGTGAAGCTGATCGAGATAATTGGACTTCATCTACAAAACCAAAGTTCCTATTGTCATCCAGTTTGCCGTTAGAAGGGAAACCGAGAAAAAAACTATATTTATCACAAGATAGGAAAATAAAAGCTATGCACAAAGTGATTGATGTTCCTACTGCAGCAAGTAATGCAGTTCAAGTTTTCTCACCAATATTAGGTGAACATGCTTCTCTATTTGAAGCTTTGGGCAGAAAAGACGATACCTTTTATGTTGTTTGGTTTACTGGCAAACATTTGTTATTGCCAGCTTCCCGAACAAATGATACAGTTAGACCTAAGATGTCTTTAATTTTACCTGCTGTATCTATAAAAGGTAATGTTCTTGTACAATCACATTTGTGGAACAATGTACTAATGCGGTATACATAACATTGCGTACACAGGATATTTATTTCCTGAGAAAATTTGAAATTCTAGGACAACTTTTTATATTAAAAAATCAAAAGGTTTTTAGGAAATCCTAGGTCTTTAGGAAAAATTTTTTTACAAGATTTGAACAAATACATGTTTATTATCCCTCTTACATGTTATAAAAACATTTTTATTTTATAGGTACATTTTCGACACCACCTGATCATATAACTATGATGCAAATCGACTGTGAAGTAACAAATACGCAACTGTTACACTTACAACAGTCTATAATACCTGTTCATTTGCGAGATAACAAGTCTACAAGCCAATCAAATCAAACTCACTCTGTCGAGGACATAGTCAATTCATCTACAGCTAATATAAGAAATATTAGAAATCACAAACCATATTTCATAAAAGAAGCCAATAAAAAAGCTTTATATAGAAAAAACTTCGAAGATAATATAAAGATAAAATATGAAGATAAAAATGTTAGAGATTTTCGTAACAAAAATACTATATACGTATATAAAGAAAATTTTTAAAGAACAGAGGAAATTAATGTATAATATTCTATAGTTCTGTAGCCATATACACTACGCAGAAAATTAACAATATAAGATTTAGAACAGCCAAAAAGTATTAATGATGTTAAAATAAAGTAGCATTTAGATGTACATTACAATGAAAACATGATTAGTGCATTTATAAGTCATATATATTTATATATTTTTGTAGAATATGACACGAACTATAATAATAATAATTAAACACACATATGTATAATTATTATATATAATATATATATGCATATGATTATCATATATAATTACATAGTTTTTGTGCTATGTTCTATAGAGATATATAAAAGATCAAAGAATGCAATTACATTTTCATTAAAGTAGTAGTATATTAGCATATATAACATGTGTATATATATAGAAAATATAATTAGAAATAAGACAAGTATAAGAAATATAAGAGAATTTCCTAAAAAAATATGATATACTACATACACACTGTAAAATAAATATAATGGACACTTGCACATTTTTATATAAATGCTAATATATTTCAATTAATTTATAATTCTTTATTGATAGATTGAGTAAATTTTGATAACATAATTTTAAAATAACTTGTTCTCATAAATATCAATAGTGACACATCACAATACTTAATCTAAGCTTTAATTTATTCATTACTATATTAGAAAAGTATCTAAAGGCACTATCAAATATAAACTGAATGTCTTTTAGTGTTAGGTAAATCGGAAAGTTCCGTCCATCTAGCGGCAAGTAGCTATAGCTAAAACTGTCGCTAACCTTTAATGTCTAAACAAAGCTTAATGGTTTGTTTTGACATTTGTCAATAACAGTATATAAAAGTATACGTTTGCATCAATAACATTGTTTTTTACTGCAATGTTCGAAAATGTCAAAATTTGAGCCAAATAAGCGTCATTTGCGTGAGTGTTAATCTTTTGCTCCAATTGGAAGAAAACTGCAACTGAAGTTCATCGAATGCTTGTAGAAGTTTATGGTTATAATGCTCCTTCCGATAAAACATGCAGAGAATGGTTTCGACGCTTTAAAAGTGGTGATTTTGATGTAGAGGACAAAGAGCGTTCTGGACGGCCAAGAGTATTCGAAGAATTGCAGACATTGATGGACGAAGACCCATGTCAAACGCAAAAGCAACTTGCAGAAACATTAAATTGTGCTCAATCTGTCATTTCCGGTCGTTTGAAAGCCTTAAGAAAGATTTACAAGGAAGGAAAATGAGTCCCATATGAACTGAAGTCAAGAGACATTGAAAGGCGAAAAACCACCTGTGAAATTCTGCTTGCTAGGCAACAAAGAAAGGGATTTTACATCGTATCATCACTGGGGATGAAAAATGGATTTATTTGGACAACCCCAACCGTCGAAAAACTATTTGCTATCCCGGCCAACCCTCAACATCGACGCCAAAGCGGAACATCCACGGAAAGAAGGCAATGCTCTGTATTTGGTAGGATCAGAGGGGTATGCTGTACCATGAGCTGTTGAAAAATGGTCAAACAGTCACAGGGGATCTCTATAGAGAACGAATGATCCGTTTGAGCCGACCATTGCACGAAAAATTACTAGAATATGAAACGAGACAGCATAAAGTGATTTTGCTTTATGACAACGTTTACATCACATCACAAAATCTGTCTGGCCTCACATCACAAAATCTATTAAGGAAACGTTAGAAGCACTTCGCTGGGAAGTGTTACCCCATGCGGCTTATTCACCAAACTGTGCCCCTTCCGACTACCACTTGTTTCGGTCGATAGCGCACCCACTTGCTGACGAATGCTTCAATTTTTATGAAGACGTCGAGAAATGGGTCTCTGATTAGATAGCCTCCAAAGATGAGTCATTCTTTCGCCGCGGAATTCGCTTGCTGACCGAAAGATGGAAAAAAGTCATCGCTAACGATGGACAATATTTTGACTGATGTACTTTTTCATTTTCGTAAATAAAGCCATATGTTTTGCAAGAAAACGGACGGAACTTTCCGATTGACCTAGAATGGCCAATTTGAGCCTGCACATGATGTTAATATGATATTAATATTACAACGATTTATTTCTACAAAAAACTATCTATAGCTATATAGAAAACACAAATGTTTCAGCCCTGTATTTGGCCTTCATCAGTGGTTAAAAAGAAATATATTTTAATTGATATCTAATTGATTATACCACATTTTTGAGAATGACATAACAAAGCCTTAAATTGGACAGTAAATACAAATTACATTGTAATGTAATTACAAATGATTATAAAATGTTGTACAAAATATTCTAACTTCAAATTATTTTGATATTTCTGTTAGGGCCTATTGTTTGATGCTGAATAAATTCCAGCATGACTATATCTTCTTGTAAGATAGTGATAACAATTTATACAATAAATATATAAAAGAATGTTTGTAATAAATATTTTACTCACTTTATAATGTACCTTCATAAGGCAAATGTAGGAGAAAGAAGAAAAAAGTTTAGAGAGAATATTGAGAAAAAAAGTTGTAGTTATTTGATATATTACCATATACATAATATATATATTGTAACAGATATTGATATAACTTTTTGAATAACATTCATGTCATGATGTAACAAGTTACAAGTAAAAATATCTTATATTTTATTCTATCCATTTTTATGTGAACAATAGTGTATAGTATAAATTTTTATACATCACATATATGGTGATTAGACACACAAATTTTTATACATGTGCATGATATGTAAAATATACATAGATGATACAATAAATGGGTTTACAAGTTATTTCAATCAATAATGTGTTTACAAGTTATTTCAAATTCGGAGTAGAATTTCCCAAATAATATCGTAAATCTTTCAATGTTGATTGTATTATTTTGGCTTTAATGCACGTTTTACCTAATCGTTGATGAGCAGCATAACGATGACAACCACCAAAAGAATAATAATAATTACCACCTAAATAGTCAAAATTAAGTTTTGTTATACAGCTGTCTGACGATTTCATTTAATTACATATGCACACTTACAGATTTAGAAGTTAACGTGTATGTATACAAATTTAATAATTATAAAATTTACTATACAAAACTAGAAACCATTTTTCTGAAATCTATTACCTTCAGTTCCTTTAATCCATAAGACATCGATGGGCGGTACTGTCTGTTCTGTCTCGATATTTATCAATGCATTCATTAAACTTTGAACTTTCTCCTCGTTTACCTCGGGCGGAAACGGTCTGATAAGTTCATTCAATGGAATTTCGTGTATTTCTACATTAATACTTGAATGTATTGAACTGGCTATTTGACATGCACTTCTACGTATCATTTTGATAATAGTTTTGCAGAAATCAGCGATTTTATACGCACATAAACTGCTCGTTAACATCTGTTGATATTATGAAGTTACGTTGGTTGCGCTCTGGGAAGTACTCTTAAGCCCGGTCCAGAATAGTTTGCAAACATCCAGTTGCGAGTGCGAAGAATGGGGTTAAGCTTCATTTTCCCGAAAAGTGGAGGGGATAGTATTGGTACGAACGAAAACCTCTAAACGACATAATTTTAATTTCTGTAGATTAGTAACACTGTTTAACTAGTAAGTTTGTTAGGCCCCTTGCACAATGCCAGATAACAAGCAATAAGAATAAAAATAGACCAATTACAATCGACTATTACAAGAATAATCTATTGTGATTGGTCTATTTTTATTCTTATTGCCTGTTGCCTGGCATTGTGCAAAGGGCTTCAGTTTGTGAAACCTTTTCGACAGATATGGTGCGTGTCAACAATAAATATCGAAGAATTATAATTTTTCATAAATCAGAGCTGCCAGATTCGCTGCATTGCTCGCAAGCCCGCGTATATGGAGGGGGAACATATGCACGTGTGAGCCGTGTCCGTGTGCGTCCGGCAAGCTTCGGGCAGCAGAAAAGGAAAGCGCGGTTTACGCGATTTCTTTCTTAGCTATAGCTATAACACACCGTTAGCTTCAAAATACGCGTTGATTCGCCGACGATATTTTCGCGCGGGCGAGAGGGGAAGAGAGAGGAAGAGAGAGGAAGAGAGAGGAAGAGAGAGAGAGAGAGAGAGAGAGAGAGAGAGAGAGAGAGAGAGAGAGAGAGAGAGCAATAATTTGAATAATTCACTCTTGGCCAACATGTACGTCTTTTTCGCAAAACAATAATCTTATGTTACGGAAAAAAACTTATGTTAATTTAAGAGATAATTTATCATTAGCACACAAGAAAAATAAAAATGAATTATGTAATTTAATTTTAAAATTATTCTAACACTACACTCTGTAATGTGCTAAACAAATAAATATAATGAAATATATAGAATGCATAAAAGTAATTTTGCGATTATATGCATTAACCTATTGCACATTTATTTTGTAAATAATAACGTACATATTGTTGCTCAACGGAAACCGCGAGAAGATGGTGGTCTCTTCCGTCAATAAGAAAACATAAATGTATGTTTTCATGTAAATGTAAATGAAAAAAATGTTTTCTCTATTATAACTATTTTATATATAGAATAATTTTGATATACACATATTAAAAATGAACATACTTTTTTACATTTTCTAAGAATATAGATAGACGAGAGAATAAATAGAAAGGATAGACAAAATAAATACAAAAGCATAGACGTAAAATATAGAAAATTAAAGGATAGAGAACAGAAGACAGAGGACAGAATAAAGGATAGAGAAAAGAACATAGAAAAAGAAAAAGACACTAAAAATACCAAATAATTTATGACCATTTCGATTTTTTAATTAATATTCTCCTTAATAGTAGGTCCAGTTAAAGGTAGAATAAATAGAAAAAATTGTTTATATCACAATAAAGAAACAGCATATACAAGTCGTGCGTTAACAACTCAGGAAATTTTAAAGTCATACTTTTACCATACAAAAACAATATACTAAATTAAAACATCGAAACGGTCAAATATAACTCGGTATTTCTAGTGATTAACCGGAAAAAAGCGTACACATGCTTTACCTAATGTAATATTAAAAATAGTGCATATATTTATGATAAAATCCTTTTTGCAATATACTAAATAGAAATGAATTATCTTTAACGACAATTACAGCTAATTTCTAAAATTAGCTGAACTGGTATAAATATAAATAATGTTTAATTAAGTATTATACATTAGTATTAGTATTATATTAGGTAAATCGGAAGTTCCGACCGTTTAGTGACGAGTAGCTATAGCTAGAACTGTCGTTAACCTGTAATGTCTAAAGCTTAATAGTTTGTTTTGACATCTGTCAATAACATTCAGTATATAAAAGTATACGTTTGCATCAATAACATTGTTTTTCACTGCATCGAAAATGTCGAAATTTGAGCCAAACAAACGTCATTTGCGCGAAGTGTTAATCTTTTGCTTCAATTGGAAGAAAATTGCAGCTGAAGCTCATCGAATGCTTGTAGAAGTTTATGATGATAATGCTTCTTCCGATAAAACATGCAGAGAATGGTTTCGACGCTTTAAAAGTGGTGATTTTGATGTAGAAGACAAAGAGCGTTCTGGACGGCCAAGAGTATTCGAAGAATTGCAGACATTAGTGGACGAAGACTCATGTCAAACGCAAAAGCAACTTGCAGAAACATTAAATTGTGCTCAATCTGTCATTTCTGATCATTTGAGAGCCTTAAGAAAGATTTACAAGGAAGGAAAATGGGTCCCATATGAACTGAAGCCAAGAGACATTGAAAGGCGAAAAACCACCTGCGAAATTCTGCTTGCTAAGCAACAAAGAAAGGGATTTTACATCGTATCATCGCTGGGGATAAAAAATGGATTTATTTGGACAACCCCAACCGTCGAAAAACTATTTGCTATCCCGACCAACCCTCAACATCGACGCCAAAGCGGAATATCCATGGAAAGAAGGCAATGCTCTGTATTTGGTAGGATCAGAAGGGTATGCTGTACCATGAGCTGTTGAAAAATGATCAAACAGTCATAAGGGATCTCTACAGAGAACGAATGATCCGTTTGAGCCGACCATTGCACGAAAAACTACTAGAATATGAAACGAGACAGCATAAAGTGATTTTGCTTTATGACAACGCTTACATCACATCACAAAATCTGTCTGCCCTCACATCACAAAATCTATCAAGGAAACGTTAGAAGCACTTCGCTGGGAAGTGTTACCCCATGCGGCTTATTCACCAAACTGTGCCCCTTCCGACTACCACTTGTTTCGGTCGAAACAAATGGTAGTCGGAAGGGGCACCCACTTGCTGACGAATGCTTCAATTTTTATGAAGACGTCGAGAAATGGGTCTCTGATTAGATAGCCTCCAAAGATGAGTCATTCTTTCGCCGCGGAATTCGCTTGCTGACCGAAAGATGGGAAAAAGTCATCGCTAACGATGGACAATACTTTGATTGATATACTTTTTCATTTTGTTTCTTAAATAAAGCCATACGTTTTGCAAGAAACGGACGGAATTTTCCGATTGACCTGATACATTAGTATTAAGTATTAAAGACCTTTCTATCTTTATTATTTACCGAGTTATGATCATTTGAAGTTTGGTAAATTTTTCCCACATTTTAAGTGTACCGCTTTTTTTTGGAGTGAGTATATACAGGGTGTTTGAAAGCTTATCATGCAGATGAAAGTTGAGAATAGATTAGGTGTAGCCGAGAAGAAAAGTCATGTACCATAATATCAAATTGGCAATAGTTATCGAGTTATTAATTGAAACATGTGAGCCAATGAACCCGTAAAGAGCGCTGGGCGGCCGCGGTAAGCACGTAGACATTTGGTATAGGCGGAGTCAACGAGCGTCGATAGACGAGCGCGCGCGGCAAGGGGCAACTGTAAGCAATAAGAAGCAAGCGCGCGCGACGTGGAGCGAGCGAGCGCGAACGACGAGCGGGCGAGCGCAAGCGACAAGAGACGGCCGCCCAGCGCTCTCTACGCGCTCATTGGCTCACATGTTTCAATTAATAACTCGATAACTATTGCCAATTTGATATTATGGTACATGATTTTTCTTCTCGGTTACACCTAATCTATCTCCAACTTTCGTCTTCATGATAAGCTTTCAAACATTCTGTATATACATATACAGGGTGTCCGGAATGTGATCATTAATATTTTGTGTATTGGTAGAACTCGTTAAAATAATTAAAAAAGTCTTGTGCCATTTTACAATTTTTTCAATATTTATTCTGTAATTAATTAAAATGTGTAAACGAATGAGCGCACGAGAAAGCAACAGGACGGGCTCTGTGTATAAGAAGATGGCTTACCTCGCGGGGCGAGAGGCAACCGTAAGCGACAAGAGGCGGACGCCCAGCGCTCTCTACGCACTCATTGGCTCACATGTTTCAATTAATAACTCGATAACTATTGCCAATTTGACATTATAGTACATGACTTTTCTTCTCGGCTACACCCAATCTACCAGTACACAAAATATTAATGATCACATTCCGGACACTCTGTATATGGAGCAATTAAACATATATATACCTTTATTTATCTCTCTTCCTGTACTCTGGTGATTTGATGCCTCTTCCGATTCATCCGTATTACTAACTACTGCTACTGGCTGAACCCATGGTTTTGCGCCAAATAAATCATTCATATCCTATAAAAGTATAAATTGTCATTGTTTTACATAAATATACATAAAAATATTTATAATATTAAAGAATACAGAATGTAAATCCCCATACATCAAAGAATTCCCACGTTTTTCTTGAGTTCCCCGATTTATTGTTATGGTCTTTGATCTGTTTATATGATGTTAACAATATACGACCGTGATAATTGCTGCATATTGCATGATGGGTCAATCTGTATTGTCTTCAATATTATCGTCAACAATAACTCTTATTACTTACAAGTTCGAAAGTTTCTAGAAATTAATAATTTTTATAATATTGGCTTGGCATCCTCAGCTTTCCAGATTTTTCAGTGTGGCAACTTAGGCTGCGATTTATTCAATGTTAGTATAGAAAATGTTCGTGCAAAATGTTATAGAATGCCTTTTTGGAATAACACATTGACAGATTCGGATAGTGAGAATGAGGAAGAGAATTCCTTTGAAATAATAAATTATGTTGTGGCTGTCATAATACATAGCGAAGTTGCGTAAAATATTTTCACACATCTACACAGCACATATAGCACAATGATATATCGCACAATGACCTATCATATTCGACATATAACATACCTGCTCATCTTAATATAGATTTCACTGAGTTGCAGAGTAGTATGCGGATGTCTCGGTACAGGAGGGTGAGCTATCATCGCGTCTGGAAACAATGCCTGTGGAGGACCATTGGACCAAAGATAAGCAAGAGCAACCACTGACAAAAATAGGACAAGCGGATAAATGGAGAGAAAAGAGATAAGGAGGGAAAGAGAGAGAGAGAGAGAAAAGAAATGATATAGACAAATCGGCACTTTTTAATGCCATCCCAGCAAACACAAAATTATAGTTATAAAACTGTTACTTGTAATCTTTTATTCAGTATAAATGTTGAATAAAAAATTATAACTAACAGTTATATAAGTTATACTGTGTCTGCTGGGACCCAATTTGCTCAAACTGGGAAGCCTCTGCGCAATGAAAAAACAATACACGGTACTTGTGAGTGCCAATTTCTATTGTCACGCAAACCATATTGCGTGTTACATAAACCTGCAGTTTTCAGTGCAACATGATATTTTATCCATGATATTTTATAATATCAACATATGAAGGATTAATTGAAATCTTTGCTTACAGAAATTAATCATTGATGCCAAGCTATGGTGACAAGGATAATCTAGGCAACATCTTAATATTCACTACTGATCTACAGTTACCGAGTCAGCGATGGAAGCACAAATAAAATTGCATTTAAAATTAAAATTTTATTATAATTTCATTGTAATTGTATTTCTTATTACGGCCATTTTACAATATATTGTGTTATGTACTTTTAATAATAAAAATTATAATAAAAATAAAATTCTTTTCACTGCATTACAGTTTCTTTCTCTTTATATTAAAAAGACAAATAAATATTATCAATAGTAGTATATGTCAGGGACAATTTAAATGGCTGTTTAAGTGAGCTATTAACGAACACGTTTTGCTTGCTTTCTGCCGTCAAACTACTGTCAGGTTATGTGCGCAGAATCTGCGCGCTTTCTGCTGTCAAATTGTTGTCAGGTTATATATGTAGAATCTGCGCGCTTTCTGCCGTCAATCTGTTACCAGGTTATGTGCGCAGACTCTGCACGCTTTCTGCTGTCAATTTGCTATTATATCGTAACAGACTCTGTTTAATTTCTGCCGCCAATCTGCTCGGATTGCCTGTCATCAAGCTTTGTCACATTTTTGGCAACAGTTTGTCGACATGGTCAGATAAATAGATTCTGTGTTAAATTTGTTTCTTTTTTGCCGTCAAAAATTATACCAAGATCTGTTCGAAATCTGTTTGCGCAGATTTGGCTATCTGGGAATATACATATTAGTTGTAATTTCCCACTCATAGAAAGTTGCAGTTATATAACAGAAATATCACATTACTAAAATGTTATATAGCTGTTATATAACTGTAATATTATTGCTATATAAAAAATTTACTTCTAATTTTCTCGCGTCTTGCGTCCGTCGATAGCTTCGATTCCAAGCGGTCACCCCTCCATGTGTTAACCACGCTAGGCTTTGCTTACGCTGACAATCGAGTGGCACGTGTAATTATTCCAATGACTCCAACGATGTTCTTGTGACCTGTGCTTATATAATGTATTCTTATAGTGTTCACAGAACATTATAACTTTTCATGTCAAAAATTAAAACAACGCAACAACATTCGATATACGACGAATATCAGTATAGACCATTTCAAAATTACTAATAATAAAGTATTGTAATGATTAACCCACAAAGAAATGGTTTGAAACAAATTCAAGTTTAAATAAAAAATTTTAATTACTAAGTCTAAAAAAAACTTTTGAAAAATATTATCTCAAATCCTGCTTTTTATCAATATGGTTTTCTTCAATGAAATAGAGTTTTTATTTCTAAAAATAATATTGTAAAAATATATTTTAATGAAACAACTCAAAATCGAACAAGTAAAAATATTAAACCTAAAGAAATTTTTCTCTGTGTGAGTTTTGTATAATATACAAGCGTTCTTAAACGTTTAGATAGTATAAATGCGGATATCTCCACGAAAATAGGAACGTTATTGTGTCCATGTGAAATCCATTTAGTTTTGTGGATTCCACGTGAATGCAACGAATGTAAAAAATATATCAAATCCATGTTCCACGTGGATTTGATGTATTTTTTTGTGGGAATATACATACCAGTATGCATATAAATGTGCATTATAAACTTCAATAAAAGTAGGTAATATGGTCTGCTTAAGCGCGACAAAGGCATTGAAAATATATAAAAACATAGAACTACAAAATAAAGCATCTACAAAAAAGCGGAACAGAATTTCTGATTGATTAGCTTTCCACCATTTCTTTTATTTGTTACTGTTCCGCTTTGCTATTTCTTTCTCTATCGGAATGCACCCTTATTCGCAATAGAAAGCATTTGCAGCTTTTAATGGATTGCATGAATAGTTGTGTTGTATAACATCAATGTAATATAAACATAATTATTGTTATATAACGTGTTACTATACTATACATTACTATTATATTATTATTATAATGTTATCTCTAGTTTATAACAAAACAGTGCAACAGGTATATAACAGAATTATATTACAACTATGAAACCAAATTATATAACCTCAATATAACTAGAGTATTGTAAGATATTTCTTTATCTCCAGCTCTGAGATTTTGATAATCACAGAATGGCTTTATTCGGACTAAGAATAGTATCACTGCTTCGAGATATTCACAGCACAGGCTTTGTTATACGAACACAAATGTTACATGACCGGAAGTCACCGGTAGATCGTTACATACAAATCATCGCCGGGTGTATCATTTCTAAAGCGTCAGTTAAATTCCGGGCTCACAAATATCCCGTTCCGATATATCGCACAGACCTCGTGATTCTTAACATTCACTCGGTTACAACTACGCGCTCGTAACTCACATGTATTTGCGACTCTTATCATTCGCCTCGCGCTTTTCGAATCTTTCGACCGTTCCTCTTTGAATTTCTCTTAACAACTCTCGTCTTACCAATAACCCTTCTTTTACATAGCGCAGGGTTACCACCCTTGTTTGGTTAAAGTCCGACTTACATTCACGCGCCGGCCAGTACCAACCGCTTTAATACTTTTAAAGACCGTGGAAAATTATTTCCTACAGTATAACATATGTTATATTACATGTTACTCCTATGTTATATAACAGTTATATTCTGTGTTTGCTGGGCATTGTTACAATAATGCCTTATCTTTTGTTAATCTTACTTATCAAACTTATCGACCTTTGAAAATTTCAAAATCATCAAATTAGCAAAAGTCAGGGCGCTACTGTAACAATATATTTTTGAGACCAAATAGAATAAAAAAATCTAGTACTATTTTTTCTTCCGACAAATAGTTAGAGAGATATTGTAAGTTAAATATTGAAAAAGTTACCGAGTTTTCCTTGAATATCTCAAAACATATTAGACAAATAAAAAAATGTTTCAGACAAAAATTGATGAAATTAATTGGTAGAAAAAGATGATAATAAAAAAGGGAGTTTCTATTTAAAAAAGTTAAGTTGACCTTGATCTGACCTTGGCAACGCCACTCAAAGTCAAACTGATAAAACTAATAGATAGACCTCTTGAAATCCTACAACATTCATTTAACATTTTTTTCTAAAACGTAACCCCTCTAAGATATTCAGGGGTCCCGGGACTTTTTATATACCCTGTATATAAAAGATATCATAGATATACATGTGTGTGTTTAAGGAGGTAAATTTATAATCTTAAGCCTTTATATTTTCCAAACTCAGTCCATCCTGCATAATAGAAAAATTATATAGTTGTTCTAAGTATCATATAAATAGAAGTCGTTGATTTAAATCGCCTCTTATAATAGAAACTTAGATTTTGTACTAAAAGAAGTTTATATAAAAAATGTAATCTCATATTATCGATATATAAAATCGATGTCTTATTAAATGAAAAATATAAACTTAAAATTATAATTGTAGAATTGTGCAATATTACAAAAAAGACTTATGGCAAAAGTGTACATTTGTAGAAGCAATTTTTAAATAATTTAAAACAAGAGTGATCACTTCGGTTTATTTATTGTTTTGTATTTTGCGTATATCTGGATACATGTTCACAAATATTATATTACTTATGCATGTATGTTGTTAACACAAAGTATGTTAGTGCAAGATTTCGGTATTAGGTCCGGTCATGTTAGAGACAGTTTGATTATCTTCCATTGGCTCCGCTGTAATATCGAATTGTTCGTTATTGACATATTGGTCCTCATGATACTGCGAGGTATTATAGCCACTATATTGATTATAATCTTGCTCTGTCATATAAGTATCCATGTTCGGATCGTTCGCAGTATACTCTCGTTCATCACTGTGAGTGTCCTTTTGATGTTGATATATTCCCGTGGTTTCGATTGTGTTCGGTGCGGAGTCACTTCCTACGGCGTGCTGCTGATCGTCTGATAAGCCGTACAATTCCTGCGACTGATCATTCCTCTTCGAATACATTTCAGAACCTTCATCCGTCATTTGTTGGCCGGGAGATGCGGCTTCGTATGTCTGATGAAACCGCGAAACTGAAGGATCATTTTCACCGGTCGATAATTCATTCGACAACGGTGGAGCTACAGAATCCATTGTACGATTATATTGAAAAGCTGCGGGCGTGCCATCGTTAATTTCCATAGAAGTTTCTCCTGGAAAGTAAACGTCATTCATATTCAAAGTGCTCGCGTTATTAAATAATATAGATTGCATGAATAACAGAAAAAGGGTGAGATGAAGCGGAATGAAGGAGAGAGGAAGAGAAAGAGAAGGAGGGGTGGAAAAAGCGCATTGTTACCTTCATGACTTGCAAAGCTGCCTTGTATTTTATTCGATAAATGTTCTATGTTGCTTTGTAAGCCGGCCATTTCTTCCCTGCGGTAAAATATGAAAACAGAGAAGCATTATCAGGTGGTTAAAAATTGTGCTTAGTTTATTAGGAGGAGAATATTGGGAGCGTAGTGCATGCGATTCTCATTCGTTAGAGAACACGTCGCTATTACTGTGCTGATAGAGACGTTTTGGAGTCTGACTTCTTTTTCGGAATTACTTTTACTTTTAGATCGACTTTAACGGTACGTTTCTTGCTCGAAGGTGAAGCGGTTTGCCCAACTGTCGTCACATCTCTCTCAACGACCCCCTCTGTCAACACAGAATAGCCCTAGATATATATACATATTGTAAGTGCCCTTATTTATTAATCAAGCATGTACTTAACCAGTTCACTGGTGAGTCGAAATCAACATTTTGTGTCAAAACTGGTAAGAGCGAATAATGTCGTATTTTATTTTATATGTAAGCTTATCTATAAAAGGTTTTTTGAATCGCTGATTATGAATCCCGAGTCGAAATTTTAAAATTCAAAATGGCAGGTCCAAAATGACTACTTCAAATGGCTAACTTTGATATGATATTATAAATATGTATCAAACCCGGTATATATATGTTTTATTGATCATAAATAACAAATAGAGTTGAAATTAAAAAAATTAAAATGGCAGATTCAACATGGCGGCTTTAAGTGGCTAACTTTGGTATGAAAATGTATTATACTCAATATGATTTTTTGGTCGCAGATAATGGATTAGTTCAAGACATTCAAACTTTATTTTATTTTAACTATGCACTTAAGACTGGTATACCATTTGTTCCATACGGCTATAAAAAATAAAAAAGTAAAAAACAAAAAATAAAAAAAACAAAAAAATTAACAAAAAATAAAAAAACAAAAAAAATTAACAAAAAATAAAAAAAACAAAAAAATTAACAAAAAATAGAAAAATAGAGTGTAAAATCCTACTGTAGCCTTCACGTGGTGCATTCTAGAATCGTGAGATATTCCACCAACTAATACGAAAGTAAAAGTACATACAATGAAATACCGTTAATCACTAGAAGCAAAAATATTGGTCTGCCATATTGGATCCGCTATTTTTAGTTTTTAATTTCGACTCTGTATTTGTTATCTGTGATCGATAAAACATACATATACCGAGTTTGATACATATCCATAATATTATATCAAAGTTAGCCATTTAAAGTCGCCATATTGGATCCGCCATTTTGAATTTCTCAAATTTGACTCCAGATTCTTAGTTAGCGACTCAAAAACCTTGGGAGTACCGAGTTGTGTGCAAATCGGTTGAAAATTGGCAGAATTATTCAAGATAGACATATATGGGCCATTACCAGAAGTGTCACTGCTTTTCTTGGACATATATGGGCCATTACCAGTGAACTGGTTAATATACGTAAAAATGATACGTGTTAATAACACTGCACAGTTTGGTCTAATTAGAATCTACAAATTAGACCAGTACATTCGACAAACAAAGCCAGCTGAGCCAATTAAACTAAAGAGACATTTGGTAATTGAAAATATATACACGCGCTTATTGCATGCTTCGTTCGGGTTTTCAGACAAAACAAAGCAAGAAAATATACTTGTGTTTAAGATTGTTAGCTTCCAAACGTTGTGTGAGAGATTGGCATTCGGCAGTCAGTCTCGAGACGAGCGTAGCCTGATTATTCAAGGCGTCTTCTAGGCCCGCCACCGTAGCAGCTGCGAAATTTGCTTGCATCAGCTTGTTGCGATAATTGACTAATCTCACCTCCGCCTATGCTAGGCATAGTGTCAACATGCCGATTTCTCACACACATAGAGATATTACTTTTTAAATAAAAAAAAAAGAGAAGGAATTTATGCACAACAACACCTTTCACTGAACAATATACCTAACATAGGCATACCTAAGATGGGACATCTTACCATGCTTAGTTTCCATGTCCATTATCATGGAAGTCAGTTCCTTCTCGTTTTCCAATCTAGGTGTAACTTGGCTACGGCTATCCTCGGGGTGAGCGATTTTGCTCACACTTATCTGAAAGTACAGGAAGTCTATTTAAAAAAGAAGTATCGATGGGTGTTAGTGGTTTTATCTAAACGAGATTACATCCAGAATAGGCACCTCTTTCTCCAAAGATGCTATCTGCTCCGACAGTCTGAGATTTTCTCGTCTGCAATGCACCAGGTCGGCGTCCGCTCGTTCCAAACGTTGCTTATACGAATTGATCTCAGTCTGCAATCTACTCTGCTCTTGACGGGCTTGCCGTTCGTTCCGTTCGGCTGCCAATTTGCCGGTCAATACTTCCTGTTCCGCTGCGTCCTTTTCACTCAAGGCTTGATTGAGATCACTCTGCAGGGTGGCTAAATAAGACAGATAATTAGACAGCGTTTAAATCACTATTGGACACCATGTAACTTACAGATCTTGTTCTGCAATTCTTTCTTTAGATTATCGCTGGACGTTTGTTTCTGGGATAACTCTCTTCTGAGCTCATTGATCTCTCTTCGCTGCTTCTCAGACTCCAGTTGCGATTTGTTAGCGATTTCCCAGTGAGAGGCGATGTCCGCGGAGAGTTGTTCGACTTGCTGATTGTACCGACGTTCCAGCTGCTGCCTCTCTTCGGTTATACGTCTGTTCGCTTCCTGGGCTGCCTCGCGCAGCTTCTCGTGTTGTCTCTCTAGCTCGTCCTTCAATCGCCGTATTTCCATCTCGCTCTGGTTTCTTTCAAACTCAATCTGCTGTCTGTCGTCCATAGTGCGCTTCGCTCTCTGAGTCGCCTCGGTTTCCTTGTCTCTTGCGACCGACAACAGTTTTTGCGATTCCTCCAACTTCATCTCGGCCTCGTACTTGGCGCGCAAAGCCCTGTCCAATTCGGTTCGCAGCTCGGGACTGCCTTCGTGCGAACAGCTATCGGACAAACGCTTCAAATTTGCTTGATTCTCCTCTTGCGCCTTCCGCAACTCCAGCCTCGTCTGCGTCAACTGCGCCTCCAATTCGCTGATTCTCGACTCGAAGACTATGCTGGGTCCTACAAGAGGCTTTTCCTTCTTGCTTCCCGAATTATCAGCATCGTGATCGTTCACCGCATCTCGTTCACGACACTCGTGAATCGTCTCGGCGCAGTCCTTGTGGTCCTGTAGAGCGCATTTCGACAATGCGGCTTTATTCTTGCTGTGAAGCGCCTCGTTTTCGGCTACAACCTGCGGTAAAAAATTATTTTGCTCGATTATTTGGACAACAAAGGTATAGTAAAATTGTTGCTTTTTTTACTAGAATCCGCAGAAAGCAACAAGTTCTGCAAACGCGAAACTATACCTCTCGGACTTTGCTCAGCAGATTAATCAATTCGTCCCGGCAGTATTGAGATTCTCGTTCCAGCTGCTCGATATAATCCTCCTGTCGTTCGATAAAAGAAGTCAACTCCGGCGGAATGGACTGGAGATCAGCCCTGGAGAGCGCAATGTTACTATACGCCTTCGACGGTTGAATGCTTTTCGACAGTAGGGGGAACGTATTGGAGATTGTGTTCCTGGCAAGGTCCTTCCTGCGAAAACTGCCGCTGATCATGCTTTGATCGTCTGTGTCTTCTCCGGACTCGCTAATCCGTGGATTACTGTTCTTGTATATGCTTCTGATGCTCTGCGGCTTTCTACACGAAAATCATTCATGTTCCTCTGTCGCTTATCATCCCGCTACAACGTCTTCTTAGAACTTTATTTTGTAAATTTATCTATTTACGCGCGAACTTCCGTTATTTTTTCAATCCTACCACACGGTTTGTTACTTATTATATAAGTTCTTGTCGGTCACTTCGTAAACTCACGTGCCGGACATCGCTGTGGGTGCGTAGGATTCAGCCAACAAGTACTTCAGTTTCGATATAGCTTCCCTGTATGCCAACTCCGTGTAATCCGCCGGCTTCTTCTTACTTAAATCCATTCTTGAAGCGCCATTTGTTTTCCTGCAAAATAATCATCTTTCTCGCTCGATCTCGGTAAAGCACACCTAACTGTTAGGATGCAATCGAAGGCCAATGAACCGAAAATTAAAATGTCAACGCGTTGCTTCCTTCACCTATTTTTCAATCGCTTCATCCGCGCGACGCACGCCGGATCCGCACAATTGTTGATGCCGGACAACGCTCTCAGCTTCGAGGTAGTCTTCGGCGAGAATTTCGGCCGTGTCGTAGCGAGATTACCAGTGGTCGTGATACTCGTCGGGCTATCGACGAAGGGATGATTGCGACAACCGTAGGCGCTGTTCGTCGTCAGCATTCTGGGGCGTTTCGCACCGTCTGCCGCCGACCCTCTACCACCGACTCCTCGCGTAAGAACCCACGAATGAACCGCGGCCGGCCGGCCGGCCAAGCAATCGATTACATGGCAACGACTATGTTACAATGGTCGGCAGAAGTCGACGAAGAAAATCGAACAGCGCTTTTAATGGAACATGCGGAACTGGAGCCTGGTGGTGGATCGCATGCGATGGTACCATCCGACCTTTGCAAGAGGGGACAGGTACCGTACCACCATCGTGCCATCACCGACGGGATACGTTCCGTGATTTATTATTAGCGGATGAGACTCCTCGGCGAAGCATACTTTTTGTAGTCACGGGGCGAAGGTGGGCGAATGCCGGCGCTATCGCCTCCTGACATTTTTCAGGTCTTGCCGTGGAATTCCTATGGAAACAGAACAATCAAACAGTGTGCAACGATGTTGAAGACGAGGACAACGCCGGCGACAATGACGACGAGAAGGATGTCTGTGGAAGAAACTTTTATGCAGGAATCGTTTACAAGGGAACAATATTCGCTGAAGATGATAATTAATTAATTAACTAGTTCACTGGTAATGACCCATATATAGGGTGGGACAATAACTATTAGGACCTTAAATATCTTCGAATCTATAAGACCCAGAGGAAGATTTGTGTAACCAAAATTGCACGGTACGAAGGGGGCTATCATATAGCGATAATAATTTTTGTCCAAGTGGAGGCGCTTCGGAGATACCAAGGTCAACTTGCATTTTTTAAATGGGAACCCTAATTTTTTATTACACTGTCTTTTTCTACTAATTAATTTGAACAACTTTTGTCTAAAACATTTTTTTATTTGCCTAATATTTTTTGAGATATTTGAGGAAAACTTGATAATTTTTTCAATATTTAACTTACGATATCTCGCTAACTATTTGTCGGAAGAAAAAGTGGTACTAGACTTTCTTGCTTTATTTAGTTTCAAGAATATATTGTTACAATAGCGCCCTGACTTTTGTTAACTTGCTGATTTTTGGAAATTTTAAAATCATCAAATTAACAAAAATCAGCGCACTATTGTAACAATATATTCTCGAGACTAAGTAAAGCAAGAAAGTCTAATACCACTTTTTCTTCCGACAAATAGTTAGCGAGATATCGTAAGTTGAATATCGAAAAAGTTATCAAGTTTTCCTCAAATATCTCAAAAAATATTAGGCAAATAAAAATATGTTTTAGACAAAAGTTGTTCAAATTAACAAGTAGAAAAAGACAGTGTAATAAAAAATTAGGGTTCCCATTTAAAAAACGCAACCTTGGTATCTCCGAAGTGCCTCCACCTGGACAAAATTATTATCGCTATATGATAGCCCCCTTCGTATCGTGCAATTTTGGTTACACAAATCTTCCTTTGGGCCTTATAGATTCGAAGATATTTAAGGGCCTAATAGTTATTGCCCCACCCTGTATATGTCCATTTTGAATAATTCTGCCAATTTTCAACCGATTTGCACACACTCGGTACTCCCAAAGTTTCTGGGTCATTGACTAAAAATCTGGAGTCAAATTTGAGAAATTCAAAATGGCGGATACAATATGACGACTCCGAATGGCTAACTTTGATATATTATATGGATATGTATCAAACTCGATATATGTATGTTTATCGATCACAGATAACATAATACAGAAAAGATAATAAATACAGAATTGAAAATAAAAAATTAAAAATAGCGGATCCAATATGGCAGATCAATATTTTTATTTCTAGTGACTAACGGTATTTCATTGTATATACTTTTACCTTCGTATTAGCTGGTGAAATATCACGACCCCAGAGTGCGCCACGGTAGGTGGAGGCTACGGTAGGATTTTACACTCTATTTTTATAATTTTTTTTACTTCAATTTTTTGTTTTATTTTTTGTTTTTTACTTATCTATTTTTTGTAGCCGTACGGAACAGAGAGAGATATCATACCAATCTTAAGTGCATAGTCAAAATAAAATAAAGTTTGAATGTCTTGAACTAATCCGTTATCTGCGACCAAAAAATCATATTGAGTATAATACATTTTCATAATAGAATAACAAAGTTATTCTATTATGAAAATGTATTATACTCAACCCACTTAAAGCCGCCATGTTGGATCTGTCATTTTAATTTTTTAAATTTCAACTCTGTATTTGTTATTTATAATCGATAAAACATATATACAGGATGGGGCAATAACTATTAGGACCTTAAATATCTTCAAATCTATAAGGCGCAGAGGAAGATTTGTATAACCAAAATTGCATGGTACGAAGGGGGATATCACATAGCGATAATAATTTTTGTCCAGGTGGAGGGGCTTCGGAGATACTAAGGTCATCTTCATTTTTTTAAATGGGCCCGATATGTTTCTTTTCCATAATATAATAGAGGAGCTCGAAACAAGTTCAAAACACGACACAAGATCATTGGACAAGATTTAAAGTAAAGAAAAATCGATAAAAATATATTTTTATTATTGAATGAAATTTACGTTTACAAAAGATGTTCGAACGGATACATCGTGCATGACTAATTTCATACATAACACATCGTGATTGACTGACTTTTATTTTCTTTTTATTTCAATCTTATTTCAATTCATTTTCATGTCTAGTTTATCTTGAGAACTTGCTCAAATGTCTTTCAGCAGTGAAAATAGATACTTACGTATTATCACTTCAATGAAAACAAACACTCTAAAGGACATCTTAATAAATTCATCGTAGTAATAAAAATAAACATGACAAGAGTTCTGAACTTGTTTCGAGCTCCTCTATTATATTATGGAAAAACACATATCAGATCCATTTAAAAAAATGAAGATGACCTTGGTATCTCCGAAGTATCTCCACCTGGACAAAAATTATTATCGCTATGTGATAGCCCCCTTCGTACCGTGCAATTTTGGTTACACAAATCTTCCTCTGGGCCTTATAGATTCGAAGATATTTAAGGTCCTAATAGTTATTGCCCCACCCTGTATACTGAGTTTGTGCTTCTGAGTTTGATATATATCCATAATGTCCATAATATCATATCAAAGTTAGCCATTTGATGTCGCCATATTGGATCCGCCATTTTGAATTTTAAAATTTCGACTCTGGATTCATAATCAGCGACTCAAAAAATCTTTTATAGATAAGCTTACATATGACATACATTATTCACTCTTACCAGTTTTGGCACAAAACGTTGATTTCGACTCACCAGTGAATTGGTTAATGATTTCGGATTACCTTCGTATATCTCCATGTTTACGTGACGATGCAATGAATAAATAACGAGCGCTTTTACCTCTCAAGCGCACATTGTAATGCACATTGAGAATATTGCGTGAGATTTTGAGAAGTAACATATTGCTCTTTATTTTTCATACTATAATTCAGAGATGTATCTCACAATCATCACAATGTATAAGATATAGAAAAAAAGAGGAAATTGCTTACATTGGTCTCGCGTTAGAATAAACAACGCTATATATATATATATATATGTATAAATATGAACAAAAGTGTAAACTGTAGCGCACTTTCGCATTAATATCAACATTAATATCAATATCTATATCAACAGTAATATCAACAATAGAGATCTGTAGAATATAAAAAAGATAGTACCTTGTTAATACATATAGCAACGCATGTTGCTTTCTTCTTTGTTATTAAATATCAATGTCTTTACGGTCCGCATTTTGTGCTAAAATTTTCATAAACTATATATTAATATGCATTATGTAACATGTGCGTGTCCCGTGAAGGATACCTCGGCACCCTCGTTTGCTAAGTTTTCTATAGACGGATCTCGATCCTCGTTCCCATTGTGGTGTAACGTACTGTAAGCTAAAATAATCATTTTCACGGTCAAATGACAATATCTCCAATCTCGATTATTGCTACGCGTAACAGCGTGAGCATCTGTCGTTGACGAGTGAATTTCACGTACCCATATCATGGGAGAACGGTCTCATGTATAGAATCATCAGTAAACCGAATATCGCGGATCCACCGCAAACATACGTGAGAATATCCCTGTAATAATTATTACAACTGGTCGAGCACCGTCTGAAAAGCAAACGCGGTCAAAATGATGCTTCAGCTGAGAGAATTCATCAAAAATCCCGCATTGATCACTAACTTTACTAGGTATTGAATGAGCATAACCGCGAAGCCGTTGCTGAGCTTATCCATAAAGCTCATAACTCCGTACACGAAAGCACCGCTCTCGGTATTTTGTCCTATTAAGTCTGCGCAAATACCAAGACTTGTCACCAACATGATTGAACCGGCGGAGCCTGAAGATTATTGCGATAAGTTATAAAAGTATAGTCGCAGTTTTTCAAGTACGAGATAACGTCGATACGCATTTTTGACGTAAAATAAAAAGATTTATCGATGAAAGCAATAACTTTACCTAACAACACGGCCACAGGATATATTTCGTATTTGATATACGTGTCGCTGTTGCCGAATTGTATCCATACGCTAGCGCATATCGCAAGTAAAGCACCAATAGAATACGCGATTTTCCGGCCCAATTTTGTATTGAGCCTCTCTATAAATAATGACATCAAGAAGCTACTCAAGAACATCGCCAGCGGTATGTAAGCCAGGGAAGCTGCAGGCATACTCAGCGACACGTGTAAGTACATAGGAATATAAACTTGGCATAAATTGATATATAATCGCGTAGACATGTAGACACAAGCTACTTGATACAATTTTGTATCTTTCAATAATACTGATGCTGTCCTAGTGTTTCTACGAAGTACATCTAAAAAAGATGATCCAATATATTACAGCAAAACTTTTATAATCATTGAAATAAATACAATGCATATGTATATTGATAAAAGTTAAAACTTTATATAGTTGCGTTGTATTACCATTAGTATCGCCATTACCATTAGCTCCTTCTTTAAGAAAAACGTGAAATATAAGGGATGCTACAAGCCCAATGCCTATTCCAATTAGAACAACTTTTTGAAATTTGTGAACATCACCAGGTCCAATCTGAGCATCTGCACCTTGATCGCTCGTTATATGCAGTACACCCCACATGATACAGTAAACAAGTACATTGGAGAAGACGGTAAACGTGTATCTATTTAAGGTTGCGAATAAGAGTTTCATTTAATTTGAATATGAACTTAACAATTGAATTCTATGTACTACTTTGTTCTTTATATAAACGAATATTCTACAAATTACCTTATAGCTATAAGTTGAGTCCTCTCATGATCAGTAGGAGTAAGCTCTGGTACTAAGGACAAGTGGGATATTTGTACCGCCGCCCAACCAAATTGGAAAATTACTACAAAAGCTGCATAGTAAACCAATTGTGCCCCTTGATGTGCGTTTTCACAGCCGACACAAGGTGAGAATATAAATGGGAAGGCTAGAATTACACAAACAGTGCCTGCAAGGGAAAATTGTTGCAGTATTGTGAAATAAGAACACAAAACAGTTAAGCTATATATATATATACACACAGTACCTAATAAGTGCCAGGTTTTCCTTCTGCCATATCTGCACAACCAAAAATCATCATTTCTGTCGGAGTGTAAACCGACGAACGGGGTAACCATGGCATCTGCTATCTGACCGATAAGCAATACAACACCACACAGAGTTGGATCAAATCCGAGCACAAGGTGGAAGAATACTAACAGATATGTAAACCATATAGAAGCGCAGATGTCATTTAGCACATGACCAGTACCATAGGCTAACCTCAGCGACAGAGGAAGTCTCTGTATTATCTCTGTATAATCGTTCTCCATTCTTCTTGCATCAAATTCCATTGTGGCGAAGAATCGTTGAAGGGCATGAATAGGTAACTCCTTCCGACCTGTCGATAGCGTAGATCAACGACAAATGATGATTTATATATTTCACTGAGAGATATCTTGTGTGAGTCAACGTTTATATAGCCGGGTCATCCCGTTGAACAATGGAAAATAAAAACTGCGATAGGACGCATTGTCATATTGTTTACTTTCCAAGTAACACACGACGGTGCACCTCTTTATTTGGCATTAATCTTTGTTCATTGATTACCGATTGACAATGATCGAGATCGAAGAAAACACTTGCCTTCACTCTGCAGACGCACTGCTTGTATAAACGGTGAATCTCAGGCGACGCGCGCCGCGCGTTGTATACCTCTATATCTACTAATGACCTCGTTAAGTCCACAAATATGGTCAAGTCATGTGATTCATTTTGACACACGCCTCTTGTCCGATAAGCGGTACCGTTCGAAGACCGATTCGGAAGCCCATCAGTTTCGGATGCATTGAAAATGGATAACGTTTTGTAGAGAGAAAAGAAGAAAAGAAAATTGACAAATAGAACTAAAGACTTTAACCCTTTGAAGCATAAATTTTTCGGTTGATCCATTATTTATGAAATTTGATATACAAGTTTTTTGGTTACTGATCACGAATCCGAGGTCAGAGAAAAATGAGTTTTTTTTGCTCTTTATTTATTTATAAAACTTTTGCAATAAATAAGTCCTAAACTATTTTTTTATATTCTATTCCTAAGATAGCGGTAAAATGTAAAAAAACATATCTAAATGTGTTGATTGGATAATAAATGGCCAAAAAGTAAAGAAGGTGATAACATGAGTTACCACTATGCATCAAAAGGTTAAGGAAATTTTACCATATGAATTATACGTGATCAGATAATGTCACTGATACTTACAAACTATTGTTAACGATAAATTCTTGAAAGAAAGAAAAAAGAAAAATAGTTTTGATTTAAGAAATTTATAGATTGTATTTACGTAGTTAAAAAATAAGCAAATATTGTTCATTATTATATTTTATTAAATTATATTAACAATATATGTAACAGCATCTAGAAATTATATAATTCTTATTGAAATATATTATTTTTATATAATGGGTAAAAGAAATCATATTATATAAAAATATAAGGAAAAAAACCCCCTCGAGAAAGAAAGAGCTTCATAATTTGTATCCATTCTATTATGTCTATGAGAAGATATATTAATACATGGAAATATGCTTACATCTTGTAATCACATGCGCACATGGCAAAATATGTTTTCTATTGCGCTTTTAAACCTAATCTACAATTTGCTCTTATTTCCTGTTTCCTATATTCCTTATCTTTTTCTGGTTTGAAACACAAGGTTTAAATAAAAAAGAGATAAAGAGAAAGAAACGGAAAGCAAAGAGCATATTGTAGATAAGACTTAAGAAACATTTAAAACCTAGACATTGTCATACAGGCAAGTCACGCTCAAATATATAGTTCAACTGCAACTATTGCTCATTATTAGATTATTCATTTCTATTAATGTAGCAAAGCTGTAATTACAGCTCTGATGTTTTTTATTAGACATGCAGCAACGGATACTTTAATGTGTCTTTAATTGTTTATACACTAAGAGACGATCTGGAATTGAGATAGAATTGATGACCCGAAAAGAGGAAAGTGAGGACATAGATACACGCGGCGATCCAGCAGTTGTATGCATTTTGCATATAGCCACGATCCGCCACTTTGTAGAAATGCTCCAGAGAAGTGAAATTTTTATTTCCTAGAGGCAGGTCCTCCACTAGAGCTACACTCCGAATATAGAAGAATACTCCCATGAGCAGCTGGAGACAAGAAAAAATTAGCTTTGACATTCAGACTATCAGTGTAATAATAAACTGTGTAATGATATATTTCTCTCACCAACTGAAATATGCCCCAAACAGACAACACCAGGCCGCACAAAGCATACTTAGGTCCGCAGATCTTCATCCTCACCGAACAAGTTCGTCTGAATGAGATAACTCAAATTTAACCTAACTACGATGCATTCACTGCTCGTAAAATTCCTCAGGAATTAGTTGCGATTCGTAGCAATTGTCAAGCTCAAACAGGTGCCCCGGTTGCCGCGTTCGCTACACCCTCAGCGATCTACTCACTCACAATGATCGGTCACAGGAGTAGTGATCATGTGATAAAGTGAAACGATAACAATATCGATGAATCGCATTCCGCTACCGACCGACAACGATATCGATGGCTCGTACTACGCATGCCGAAAATGGCCGAATTCATTCGATCGAAGTTTTCCTTTTTTATCTACGCTCTCCGCCTCTATTTTCCTTTTTTCCTTATGATACATAAGCATTTCGTTTTAAAGAACAAATCTAAGAGAATATTATTTATTGGGTCTTTCTATTTGATTATATTTTCAAACTTTCCAACTTTCTCCTCTCTTCTTTCAGGAACTTGAATACTAACCTAACTTCAAACAGGAAAAATGCATGAATATAAATAAGACAAATTTTCTCCTATAAATACCTGTTCTTATTTGGATACGGTATATTACGCTCTCATCTGTTTATCCCCTCTTTTATCTAAATCTTCACCTTCTCCCAGGATAAATCCTTCGTTTCGCTGGACATCCCCGCTGTTCGTATATGCTTCGACTTATTTTACGCTAGGAGACGCCAGCTTACAAGTCGACGGCGCTGCGATAACTGCAAATCGTTCGACACGGATAATATTGCGAAACTCACAGACACAAGCGTGATTCATGCTTCCTGCTGTTGTCAGCACTGATTCATAGGATCATGGTTGACCGATTGGGTTAGTTGGTGCTTCGCTTATTAGCATTTAATTAATATCGTATATTTTACAAAAAGACGAAGCAGCCAGGATTATTATATGTCTAGGAAGCGTGTGTGTTTTACAATCGCCTCGAAGAATGCATATATCGGTTATTTTGTCATGTACACTCCTGTGATTGGCGTGCGTACGCAGGGATAACGGTCCAGGGAAATGGGTTGTGTTTTTGACAGCTAAAGTGCGAACGGTAGATCCGCTTCGTTTAGTTGCACTCTCACTACATTTTTTAACGAAATAAGACAAGCGTGAGCTCATGTACATTATATTATCGAGAGAGGAAGCAAAATACGAAATTATGAGAAAGTGTAGAAAGTGCAGCTAAAGAAAATGGATCTGATTCCTCGATCGGACGGACGGTCGGTCGTTGACGAAAATCTTTTACGTCTCCAGAATGTGGGTGAAATTTCTAGTGATGCTCCGAGATTCTTGCTAATTATCTTGACTTGATTTGTTTCAGTAAACAGCGAGGCCAATGCCAGGCGTATTGCGATGGTCGAAAACTGCTTTGGCAGTTCTGGTCAGGTGAGAGATTAATATGTGATGAATTGAGCATGCAAATTTCTCCTACAAATTATCAGAGACTTGGTTTGCTTATTAAATTACTTGTAGCCAGTTATAGTAATATCAATGATTTATTTATGTGAATATTCTCTTTTTGTAGCCACTTGCAGTACCAGGAAGGGTTCTGGTGGGAGAAGGTGTCCTGACAAAAATGTGCAGGAAGAAGCCAAAACCAAGACAGTTCTTCTTGTTTAATGACATATTGGTTTATGGGAATATCGTGATAAATAAGAAAAAGGTGCACATTTTACAAGAATTTCTTTTCTGTTTCATAAGATTGAAATTATAGTAATAAGTATATAGGGAATTATATCATCTATGATTACAAAAATGATAATTACACTGCAATAATTGCATGTAAAAATGATCATTTTATTTACAGTACAACAAGCAACATATAATACCATTAGAAGAGGTAAAATTAGAATCTTTAGCTGATGAAGGTCGTAAGTATAATGTACAATTAATATATTTATATATATACTATATGTTATATCACACATCTGAAAAAATTTAGTATATTTATTAACATTAACTTGTAAAAATTATTTTGCCAGTCTGAATATTAAAGTAATAATCACCAATGAAAATTTTATTTGTAGATGCTAATAGTTGTAACCGAACTAGATATTTTAGAAGTCTATTGTAAAGTGTGGCATATGTAATAAGTATATATAGACAATAATTTTGAATATATAGAATTTTCTATTATTTAACTGTTTACATCATACATTGTTTTAGCTATAGATCCTTGTGCATTTATCGTGTTATAAACTTAATTCTTTGATTATTATATTGCACAGTGTATGGATCAACAATCAAATAAGGCTGTGGTTAGAAAATGTTAGTATAGTATTGGATCATTATTTATAGAATATCGTAATGGATGGCTCATTAAGACAGTAACAAAGTCGTTTGCTGTTTATGCTGCTACCGCAACAGAGAAACAAGAATGGATGGCACATATCACAAAATGCATTGAAGATTTATTACGAAAAAGTAAGTAAAAGCTAGAATGTACTTGATTAACGTAGATATGTGTTTAATCTGCTGTTTCCTTTATTTTTAATTTTTCGTTTTTCTATTCTTTACAGGTGGCAAGAAACCTGTTGAAATTCATGCAGCAGTTTGGGTACCAGATAATGAAGCTACAATTTGCATGCACTGTAATAAAACACAATTTACAGTATTAAACAGACGGGTAATCATGAGATCATATCGTTAACTTGTAATAATAATTGATAGATATTTGAAAATTAATATAAGTAAAAATAATTTTTCTTTTATTTTAGCATCACTGTAGGCAATGTGGTGCAGTGGTCTGCGGACCTTGCAGTAATAAAAAGTTATTGCTACCTGGACAAGGAAATGGGAAAGCCGTCAGGGTCTGCCTACAATGCTACGACGCTGCTAGTAAAGTCAAAGCTTCGCCCACAACCGCTATGGATGGTTTAAATAACAAAGATCCACAACGTAATTCTGCCGACAGTTCAGGAGGAGACAGCTCCGGAGACGACGACGAGGGAAATAAAGAAGAGAATCATGATGAGGTGAATTAATATTCTTTTTACAAAAAAAAAAGAAAACTATCCATAAACTATATAAAAACATATATGAGCTGTATAAACATACATATGCATAACTATCAACAATTTTTTTTTAAACAATTGCTTTTTTCAAGTATTCATATGTACTGTGAAATTGATCTCTTACCATTGTATAATGAACATTTTCTTTCCTCTTGCAGCCTAAATTTTACTCTACGCTCGGCCGATGAAGACGATTATAAGTTGCATTAAACAATAAGATACAAACATTTCACGACAAAATATTTCTTTTGAAAATCCGTAATATACAGCTATTAAAAATAGAAAAATTTGCAAAAGTAATCTTTGAAATGTTATGGGACGATATGAAGAATTGAAAAAAAGATAATTATGTACAAATATGATTTATGCTAAAGATCGCAGCGTGTTCATCTCTAGACTCTTTTGTCTAATTTGTATTATGAACTTCTACAGCTTTTGTTAATAACAAATACTACAAGTGACTAAGAGGAATCAAACAAGAGAAAATGTCAAGTATGTGCAGATAATTGTGAAATTATTAGGAGAATTCTGATGTTTCTTCTAAAGTATTAATGAACCAGAGCATTGGGGTCATCAACAGAAGTTTATAATTGCTAATATGATTACATTAATCGAATTCAGTAACAAGCGTAATTAGATACATTTTTTCACCAATATATGTATATTAAAAATATATATCACATTGTGCCTTTTTATATTATTGAAAGTTCAATATCAGATTTGTAAGCAGCTGATACAACGTCTAATGTTACATCTAATATTTAAAATGCATTTTTCGGAATGCTATCTCAATTTTTGATGTATAGATTTCTATCAGTCACTGCGAATACCATGTTTGTTTAAGACACACATTGCTGCAGTTACGTAAAACATAGTCAAACGTAATATTCGAAAAAAAAAAGAAAAAAAGAACAAAACGTTATATTATTACACAAAATTTAAAGGAGTGTTATTTGATAAAATATTAAAGTGCGCAATTATTTTTTCATGATACTTAGGGTAATAAGAAAAAAATGTAATTTTTAACTTTACTTTTTAGATACACATCGAGAATCTCTACAAATACTGATTGTGTGTAAATTTAATATAGAAACAGGCAATCGGCGAAATCGTGAAAGAGAAAGTTTCTAAATATATAAATAAGATTAAAATGCCATTCCTTGCTGTCCATTTAGATTTGTAAAATCAGATACTTCATAAAGAAGATAAAAGTACATTGTGTACAAAATAGCATTTTTTAAAAGTTTTATACAGCAAAATTATTTTGTAACAATATGACGTTAGTTTATAATATATATAATTTTTAATATCTATAACAGTGTATTAGTATACATATACAGGGTGATTTATATAAAATAATCAATGTAATTCTTTGCAAAGTTTTAAAACAAAATAATTCAGATTGTGCAGATAATTATATCAATTAATTCATATGAATATTACCCTGTATACAATATATTATAAAAAATATACAGTGAATTCTACCACTAGAAACAGATAACTTTAGTTCATATGTAATTGATTCTGCTTTTAAGAAAAAAATTATACCAAGACGCTCAAAATAAATTGTTTAATTTTTCTTCACGTAATTTTCGAGTCTATAGCAGACCTTAAGAATAATGTTAATAGTCAGTTTCTTACTCTAAAACTATGCAAACTATTTGTAGAAACAAAGCATAATACGAAGCATAATATCATATGTATTTTCCCATAAACGTACTGAATTATTTATTTCTATGAAATATTGTATGCCAAAAAAAATGTTAAAACCTTCACCTTTGTTATCTTTTAATTTTAATGAATAACTAATAAACAACGAACTTTCCTAACCAAATTTCTCATTTATTGTGATTTTCTATTAACAGATGTAATTTATAAATTTTGCTTCAACTTTTATAGCAACTTTATAGATATGAGAAATTTATTCACCTTCGTATTGTCGCAATATCTTTATTTCTTTTCTCTTTGTTACTCTGTTTCATACGCCATACATTCTTTTTGAAATTTCATTATAGCACAATTACTGGTTTCTAACACTTTTTTGTAACGTTCCACTAAGTCGCTGATAGAACGTCTTCTCGATGTACTTTCTTGTTTTACAATTACACTGTTATCATTGACAAATTCTACCTCTGTTAATTCATCCAGCTCAGGCTTGGTTATTTTGAAGTCACGATCGAATACGTCTGTGGTTTTTTCAATTGTATCTTGCAATGTGCTCTGTTTCGTCGGAGTGCACTGTATAGTTGTGAGAGGCTTTTCACTCAAATTAAATAAACTCCTTGCTGTAATATCTAAATTGTGATCCCATAAATGGGATATTTTCCCTGTTGTGTTTCCGATGATGAAAGAATTGGCTTGCATAGTAGATGGTAGAGATACCATGCTACAGTTGGCTGTGTATAAAAAGTAATTTTTATTTAATACTTTAGACTTTAGTAAACTTAGAAAAATTCTATGAGGGTACTAATCGAAATTTAAGTAGGATTGCTACCTTTTATATTTCTATTTATACACGTGGAGAAGAGCCGGGAGTACTTCCCGATTGTTCGTTTATGCAATCTATTCACATTAGGTGTTATAAAACGTATACTTGAGTTTTGTTTCTCGTTATTACTCAATATTGTATCATTGATGTCGATACGCGATACAAATAAGTTCGTTCTTAAATCCGGAGTATGATTTTGTTTGTATCGTGTATATCTTGAGAACAATGATTTATGTGTAACTGTAAATAACAAATCACATATTGATAATAGCCATTATAGACGAGGAAATGAAACTATGTGCGTTTTTATATAAATTATAATAATAACTTACTTTCTCCTGGAGTAAATTGCAATAATTTATGCAAATCATTCTTTTCGTCTGCATAATTAATATTAATTTTAATAAGAGGTGATGGCATGAGAAGAACACTCTTCGCAAGAGGCAGTAAGGTTTCCCCAATTATATGTGTTGTATTTTTCTCACATAAAATATTCTCTGTTTCTTCTGTATAATTTATTACATTTGTTAAGAAAGATTTGAACACATTGTGCATAGATTTCATGTCTTCTGTACTTGCTTGCACTTGCAAGAGATATTGTGAGAAGTCTACCAAGTGACCTTTCTTCAGAGATTGATATACTTGGCACAGTATCAAAGTGAACAAGGAAATAAAGTTGTTAAATATCAATTTATCATCATCATATAATTTATAAAGACAACACTAAAAGATAACAAATTTTATATAATGCACAAGTCTTAATTAAATTGAAATATAAAAGATATTTGAAATTAAACATATACAGTGATAACTATATCAATTGTATAATTTTACCTGAACAACAGGTGGAAGTGGCAACTCTGATATCATAGAACAATTAATTTTCTCCAACTGTTTACAATTTAATATCTTTGCATTGTTTAATAAATTGGATATTATACCATTTATATTTTCACATACTTTTTCCAGGTCCTGCAATATTCCAACTCGTTTTCGTATATAACAAATACTCTCATTTAAACTATTTCTCCACACTAAAACCCATGTATATTTGTCAGTTCTGCAAGTGTGACATAATAAATGCATTCTCTATTGATAAAGTAAATGTTACATAAATATAGTACTAACTTTCAATAACTTCTGAGTCTTCAACATCTGCTAGACGCTGTTTTATGGATATAGCAACAGAGGCTTCAGCTATGTATTTTGTCAGAGATTGTTTCGTATCAAATAGTTTAGTTTTGATTTTGGCCAGCTCTTCTTTCTCCTCTCTGGAAGGAAAGAGGACAAGCAAATTAGTTATAAAGCTTATAATATATTAGTCATGAGTTTTGTACTTATAAAAGATAAGAAAATATTACGCCAGTGCAAAATTAGCAGCTTTCTCCATTTGTAAACAACTTCTATGATGACTTGCTATATTGCGGTTAATATTTGCCTTGGACTGTTGTAGATAAGTTTTGGTAAGATCATCTATATATCCTGGCATGGGTGCAAATGAAACTTCTTCTTCTAACAAATATATTATACAATATTAAAGTTAATAGTTTTAGCAGATACAGAAAAACAATTTCAATGAAATTAATATTTTCAATAAAAAATTACCATTACGCATAATATATCTTCTTAGTGTAAGCTGAGATAATTTCCACATTATGATTACGAACTTGGTACCACTTGCATGATGCAAATATGTGGAAAGTACACAAGGGAATGCTATATCAGGATTCTCTAATGATATGATATTTAGATAATCTTTAACATCATTACGATACTTTGCTTCTGTTTTTTTACAGACCACTGGCCATTCAACTAGTTTTCTAAAACGTTCAGCATCACATATAGTTAGTAAGTAATGAGTAACGTGTATAAATCCTGCGGTATTTGGTTTATCAAACATTCCCTGTAACGTATAATTATTTATTACCACTTGTTCAATTGGTCAACAATGGTAGTAAACATTGGTATAACATAAGAACAAAACCATACACATATATATGTACGCATTCATATATAAAATTTTATCTATATAATAAAAACTTACTTCACGAAAATGTTTTTTAAAGTTATCGTTCGGTGGAACCAATTGATTTAGTAAAAAAACATTTCGATAAAAGGACGCGCTGATAGCCATTCTGTTACACACGCGTACACACAACCACGATTAATCACGATTAAATAAATCATCCATATGACGCATCAAAACACGCAACGTAGTGTGTTTCTTTGAATGATATAGAAATTTCAGAATAAGAAAGCAAATGATGTATAGTAACAACTGTTAACATGCATACACTGATATCCGACATTTGAATTTTCAAAGTCTGTGTTCATTTTGCTTGAGATAGGAAACTTTATAGCTAAATCATAGACTTCTATAGTATAACTAGACTGCTAACTCCGACTCAATACATGATCCCGAAAAATATGTACACTCACGGACAAAGGTTTGTTCCCGTTTTCTTGCAACTTTCGGAACGCATCCAGACTTGAGAAGAATGAGAGTCACTGCTCCGCTTGCGGAGCACGCCTGCGCAGTGACTCACGAACGAAAAGCGAGAAATGAAATATACGCAGTAAGACATATAATAATATAGACTCAGATGAAATGAATACTCCAACATTAAATGGAAATAAGGGAACATAGAACAGACAAGAATCATCTGATATAAGTCTTATACTCCGGAGGACATCCGAAAAAGGTAGAGATAAAAAAACATGTTTATGTTTTTAAAATAATACGAACTTAATTAAGAGAATTAAGCTTCATTACGATATTTATGATTCTGTTATACATTTATATGTGATTTATTGTTTCAGCACCAGCCATCTTCTATAGCAGAAGCAATGATATTAGATACAGAAGTAGCTGTTATATAACAGCTGCTTATTATTACTCAGACAGCACCAGACATCCAATGGATATATGGTCACGGACATAAAGGTTGTCACATTTTTTTTAATGACTTTCGGGACGCATCCCGACTCGAGAAAGATCAGAGCTGCTGCTCCTCTTGCGGAGCACGCCTGCGCAGTAACTCACAACGAAAGGCGAGAAATGAAATATACGTGGTATGACATAAGTATGTCAACAATCATTGCGTTCAGCGGGGAAAACTGCTCAATGAGCGATTAGTGACTAAATAAATACGATTTCACTTAAAATTTAATATATATACCTGTTCAATACCTTGCAAAAGACTCATTCCCATTTGAATGACTTGTATCTATCCCACCGCTACTGATTTTTCAAAATGTAAGAATTGGGTGCGTTCACGACGGTTGACTCAACGGTTGAGCAACTGTTGAATAATTCGTCAACGTTATTGGTCTGAATGTAAGGATCTAATAGTAAGGACCAATAGTCACTAATCGCTGACTGAGCGGTTTTCTTCGCTGAACGCAATGATGGTTGACATACTTATGTCATACTACCAGAGAGAAGAATGAGAGCGGCCACCGGCCGTATTTCGGGGGATACGGCTAGGCGCATTTTAAATACGCCATCTGACCAAAATGCGCCTAAACTACGTCCGCTAGGCGCACTTTCACGGTGATAAAAGTAAAATGCGCCTAGGTTCGTGTCCGTACTACTTCCATGCAATGGATAGTAGATTAGAAAAAGACAGACGACAGACAATCGTACCGTCTTTGTCTCACTACTGAGCGGCGCGCGGCAGTAAACACGAGGCGAGGTAGCGGCGATCTTATCGCTGAGCGAACATCTCTCCGATTTTCTTTCATCTTTCACGCTCCAGAGACATCAAAAGACGCGGTAGCGTCTTGTATCAAAGGAACGTGCGAAGCGAGGAATTATTTTTCACGCACGCGAGGTAGCACATGGGAGACTAGACGAGCGTCGACATATTATCTGTTTCTTTCCCGCTCGTCTAGCTTATTGACTGCGTGAGCCGCGAGATTTTTCTCGCTACTCCTCGCTCTTTCTCTCTCTCTCTCGCTCGTTCTTTCTCTCTCTCGCGCACTTACTCGCTCTTCCTCTCTTCTCGTGTTCTTACGGCTTGGTTAAATATATTAATTACATGACAATATATGTATATAAATAAATGACACATATATAGTGTATATGTATATAAAGAATATTTAGTATTAATGCACAAATAAAGAAGAGAGAATTATAATGAGAGACGAAAAGTTAATAGAAATCCACTCTTAGCCAATATATACATCTTTTAAAAATGATTTGTTATTAAAGTATATGACAGAATAATTTATTTATGCTAATAAATTTAAATTAAAAATTAAATGAAGTGTTATTTGTTTTGTAAAAGATATTCCATTGTTACATTTTTCTTTTCGTAGCAAAAATAAATTTAGTCTAGTAAAAGAAGAAATTAGTTTTATTATCATATTTCAATTACGACTTTATTATTTAATTTTACGAATAGATAACGTGCATATTGTTGCTCAACGGAAACCGCGAGAAAATGGTGATCTCCGTCAAAAAATAAATGCAAACTTTTTAATAATATAATAATTTTTTTACGTAAGTGTTTGTTTTTATAGTATAACCTGTTGAATTTTATTAATTATTAATTCAGCATGTTATAGTATAAAAAATATATTTTAATATAAAAATTAATGTAATATTAATTGTTTACATTTGCAAGAAATATGGATAGAACAGGATAGGTTGCAATGATACATAGGAAGAAAAAAGATAGATGGATAAATAGATAGATAGATAGATAGATATAGAGATAGATATAGATGGATAAATAGATAGACAGATAGATGGATAGATAGATAAATAGATAGATGGATAGATAGATATAGAGAAATAGATAGATAGATAGTTAAATAGTATAGAAAAAAAGATAAATAGAAATATAATTATCATTATTATTATTATTAATGTTTTCAGTTTCAAGAGAACATTCGCTTAAACGTAAGTCTTACTTAGGTCCAGTTTCACGACTTATATTATATTAATCGGAATATATTATACGACTTATATTATATTAACCGGAATATATTATACGATTTATATTATTTTAACCGGAATATAATTCGTTAATATTAGAAGTACCGAGCGGTTATTTCTGATCGTTTCTATTTTTTAGATTAATATCCTGTTTCTTTAAGATTACAGGATTTTTGTTTTGAGCGTTTGTTTAATGTGATGTTTGTAAAAAATGTATATAAATTTCTACATATAAGATTAAAAATATGAAAAATATTGCAGTGAAAGCAAGGAGGTTCCACGGTGCGCACAATATCTCAATAACTATCTGACCAATCGACTTGCAACTTGGCAGCATTATAAAATAGACTTCTCTTTACCGTTTTAACTACAATTAACCAAATTCATTAATAATTAATATTTTTTATTAAACTTTACCGAGAGGCCAGAAATAGACGATTTTTGTTCTAAATGCTACCATGTTATTATTTGTGTTCCGATTGTAGTTCAGACGATAGCTATACTTATAGAAAATAAAAAGCTACTTTAAATAATTGTGTAAAATTAAATCACACACATTTAGAAATTCCTTGGAATCGTCTATTTGCAACCTCTTTGCTTTTACTGCAATATTTTATATATTTTTAAACTTACATACTTGTAGAAAAATGTATATATATTCTTCAAACATCATTAAGCAAACTCTCAAAACCCGTAATCTTTTAATCATGTGATCTTTTTCGCTTCCGCAAAAAAAATTAACGAAATATACATATTTTTTGTCGGGTTCAATAAGATAACTCTTTAAAAGCCTATCTCAACAAAATTACATAATCGCATCATTGATGTGCACAAGGAAATCAACCAATCATAATCCGTACAAGCGTGCCTTTTATATTAGACATATTTTACATTTAATTAATCTGTTTCCTTCTCTAGAACAAATAATCATCAAAGGTCAAGATAACGTCAAAATTATTTTAACTTAATTTTGACATCATCTTCACTTTTATATAATTATTTGTTCTACTTCAGTTATGCATATGAACAATATGACTATGCAAGTTTGTCTCAATAAGTCTTAAACTCCGGTTAAAATAAATTATGAAACTAAATCTTAGCGTTTTTCAATCATCGGCATCTTTCACGATGTTACGATTATAAATATTATCTATATAACCAATTGTAACCTACACAACGGAACGCTCTTCGATTGAACCGATTGAAATTGCTCATATCAATTATCAATGATATATGGCCTTTCATTACATTCTCTAAGTTTCAATTGTTAATTGAACAAATCCTTTCGCAAGTGAAAGATTAACATGCTGATTTGAAACATAATGCAAAAAGCTCGAAAATAAATGCGAAGCAGAAAAGAGATTAACAATGAATGATTATTATTTAATATGCAACTTACATTAACATGGAATGTCTAATTGACTTAATGTCTCGAAGCTACTGAATATGAATTTATGCTCAAATCTCTTCCTTTCTGTAGGAGGTTTTTGGCTGTTTCGGTTACTTTCCTCTACATTTATATTAATGAGTTGAAGCACTTGTTTCTACGAGATGTTTAAAACTCGGCTGACTTTACGAGTGTTAACACTCGTAACTGGACCTAAGTAAGACTTACGTTTAAGCGAATGTTCTCTTGAAACTGAAAACATTAATAATAATAATAATGATAATTATATTTCTATTTATCTTTTTTTCTATACTATTTAACTATCTATCTATCTATTTCTCTATATCTATCTATCCATCTATCTATTTATCTATCTATCCATCTATCTGTCTATCTATTTATCCATCTATATCTATCTCTATATCTATCTATCTATCTATCTATTTATCCATCTATCTTTTTTCTTCCTATGTATCATTGCAACCTATCCTGTTCTATCCATATTTCTTGCAAATGCAAACAATTAATATTACATTAATTTTTATATTAAAATATATTTTTTATACTATAACATGCTGAATTAATAATTAATAAAATTCAACAGGTTATACTATAAAAACAAACACTTACGTAAAAAAATTATTATATTATTAAAAAGTTTGCATTTATTTTTTGACGGAGATCACCATTTTCTCGCGGTTTCCGTTGAGCAACAATATGCACGTTATCTATTCGTAAAATTAAATAATAAAGTCGTAATTGAAATATGATAATAAAACTAATTTCTTCTTTTACTAGACTAAATTTATTTTTGCTACGAAAAGAAAAATGTAACAATGGAATATCTTTTACAAAACAAATAACACTTCATTTAATTTTTAATTTAAATTTATTAGCATAAATAAATTATTCTGTCATATACTTTAATAACAAATCATTTTTAAAAGATGTATATATTGGCTAAGAGTGGATTTCTATTAACTTTTCG